AACTATTACAACAATATAGAGACCAATCTTATCGAAGCAAGTATCAAAAGTTCTAAAATTTATTGGAAATTATTAAAAGATGTTTTTAAAACTAAGGTTAGGTCCGAAATTCCACCGCTGCAGGATATTACAGAAAATGGAAATATGCATATTAATTACAGCGATATTGACAAGGTTGAAGCGTTAAATAGATATTTTGCTTCGGTTTCGGCTTCGCATGATGTCGAACCTGCATTACCAGCTTTTTCTTTATTATGTAATAGTGTTTTAATAGTATTGAAATAGTTGAGCAGGACATTATTGATATAATTTCTATTCTCCCAGTGAACAAGGCAATAGGACCTGACAACATTAGTCATAAAATGTTAAAAGCTACCATTTTTAGCGTCTCTTATCCTTTATGTATTTTGTTTAACAGATCTTTAAGAGAATGTGTATTTCCTAAACAGTGGAAGGTAGCTAATGTACTTCCTTTATTTAAAAAAGGTGACCCATCATTATTATCAAATTATAGACCAGTCTCATTATTAAGCTGCGTTGGCAAAATTATGGAGCGAGTTATTTTTAAATATGTTTACAATTATTTTCATTCAAACAATCTTTTTTACAAATATCAAGCTGGCTTTTTACCAGGTCATTCAACAGTTTATCAACTTATTGAGACATTCGATTACATAGCTAAAGCTATGGATGAAGGAAAACACTGTTGTATGGTTTTTTGCGACTTGTCTAAGGCATTTGATCGGGTTTGGCACAAAGGCCTTCTCTTTAAGTTACAAACTTATGGTGTTAGTGATAAGTTATTATTATGGTTTCAAAGTTATTTAGATTTAAGGACACAAAGGGTATTGCATAGGAATACTATGTCTAGTTTTAGATCTTTACATGCTGGAGTTCCCCAGGGGTCTGTATTGGGACCACTTTTATTCTTGATATATGTCAATGATGTCGCTGAAAATATGTCTACCTTAAGCAGATTGTATGCTGATGATAATTCTTTACAGAAATGTTCAGAAAATGTACATGATATTCAATTAGGATTGAATAATGATTTAAATCAACTTGAGCGGTGGTCTAAACAATGGCTATTGAAATTTAATCCTACGAAAACCAAAGCTGTATTTTTTAGTACTAAGAAAAACGTAGATTTACCATTGTTAAAATTTCAAGATTGTAATTTAGATTTAGTATCATCACATAATCACTTAGATATTCTATTTTCAAACGACCTCACTTGGTCAGGGTACATTGATTCTATCGTAGCTAATGCATATAAAAAATTAGGTCTACTTAAAAAATTGCAGTTTAAGGTCAGTGCAAAAACTTTATCTCTTTTATATACTACTTTTATAAGACCTAAGTTAGAATATGCAACTGAAGTTTGGTGTGGGTGTTCTAGTCAAGATTCTGAAAAACTAGAAAAATTGCAACTTGCAGCAGCAAGAATAGTCACTGGATTAACCTCATTGGCATCGCGAGATTCTCTCTATTTTGAAACTGGTTGGGAACCACTTGCTGTTAGACGAATGTCCAAAGTAAGAACAACTATGTACAAAATATTTCATAATATGGTACCCGGTTATTTGAAAGAAATATTTCCAAACATTCGATCACAAGAATCAAATTACGTAACAAGACAATCACAAAATTACTGTATCCCTAAGTGTAGATTAAATATTTATAAATCATCGTTTGTTCCAATGGCAATAACGGAATGGAATTCTTTATCTCTTGAAACAAGACAATCTGTAACGACGAAAAGTGACCCCCGTAGAATATTGACCGGGGGTCATTTTTCTACGTAGAAATTTGACCCCCTGGTCAATATTCTACGTAGAAAAATGACCCACTTTTCTGTAGAAATTATGGCCTTGGGGTCATTTTTCTCCGTGAGCAGTGTAGAAAATTGACCTTGTAGAATAATGACCCCTTGTCATTTTTTGATGCAAAAACAATTCATTTTAGTAGGAATATTTTTGTTTTGCGAATGCATACGGGTAATATCAAGCTGCCCTATGCTTTAAAGTGTTTATTTCTGAAAGTTTTAAAGTTGAAATAACGAAATCAAAGCTATAAAATATCTTACATTAATGATATATACTGTTTTATCCTAACTAAAGGAAACAATATTAAAATGTTTAACTAAAGGCTATAAGAGCAAAGAAACGAGAATTCAAAGAAACGTTTATTACATTTTATACAGTAAGTTTCCACAGTTGCCATTTTAATCTAAAAAGGTCCTTTCTAAACTTCCACCAGAGTTCGTTTGTACCAAACCAAATCTCAAATCTATGTGTTCGGAAACACAGAGGACTATGGGTAGTATGGGTCATTTCTGGCTAGTGTCAGAAAAAGGTTTCTGTTATTATAATTAATCAATCATAAATCTCTTTGATTTAACCTTGGATAATAATTTTTCAAAAGTTAAACGTTTTTTCCCTGCTGTTAAAACTGGCACCCAAAAGGGTTCCAGCTTAGAAAACTCGTATAAAAATATTTGATTTTCTATGAATGAAATTTCAAATTTCTCATGAAAATATCGATGATTTAATTTCAATTGTTAAAATAATTACGGAATTAAATTGCCTCTGTCCTACATGTATGATTCAAGGGAAACAAAAAGTTTTTAGCTTAAAACCTGTAAAATGCCTTTTTGTCGTTTGCTAGTGTCAACAAAACTTTCACAAAATGGGGGTTGTAGCAAAAAACATGATTAACTAAAAAAGACGTCTTTCCAAAATAGGCATATGTAGTATCATTTTGTCCGTTCTATCATGTACTTAATAAAATACACATCGTGATTTTAGGAGTTTTTTTACCAATAGAGAAAAAAAACAAATTTTGGACGATGAAAAAGTTGTTACTTTACATGTTTTTCTTATGTCCCCGTTTACGAAGTTTCGGGGGGTATATAGTTTTTTTTACCTGTACATCTGTCTGTCCGCAAAAAAACTTGCCCATAACTTTAGACTGGGTATGACTATGGCTTTCATATTTCACAGGTGTATTTTGTGACAAGACTTTTTTTATGTACAATAAATTTTGACCTTTTGACACTGACCTTTGAGTTTGGTTCACTTTTACACAAGAGGGATATGGGGATAACGAACAGTATTCTATGTAAAAGTCCATAAAACAATACAAAATAGGAGAAGAGCAAACACGGACCTCCAAAACATCAGACATGGGATCAGGTGCCATGGAGGAGTTAGCATCCCCTGCTGACCGGCCACACCCGCCGTGTACTCCTTGTCATGATCAGGAAATAGCGGAAAAATCCGTCGTCAATTCAGTGTATAAATAATGGACTAACAATAAGTATGGAAAAAGTCAGTAAGCAATTGACTCTATGATAAATTGTATTTGCTGACAAGGTCATTGTATCGACCATAGAAATTACGAAATGATGACTTTAAACGAGACTGCTGTTATTCTTGTTTCATCAACTTGCTTGTCAATAATTTACCTCGTTTTAGAAATTGTTCATACGTGGAGCATGCTCTTACATATCGAATCAAGTGAGATATATACACTCCGTATGCAGGTGATGAAGGTATATCACTGCATAAGTAAGGGAAGTTGACGATAGAAAAGTTAAAGCCATCATATTTATCATATAGCTTGGTTGTTACATTACCAATAACGCCCTTTTCAAGTAAAATATCCAAGTATGAAACAGAAGTGCCAAACTCTGTTGTATCTTTCATCGCAAGCTCACGAGGATATATCTTATCGACGTAGGAATGAAAATTACCATTGTAAATTGACAATACGTCGTCGATATATCTAAATGTCGAATTGAAGGCCACAGCAAGTGTTTTCTTCGTGTCACATATTAGAATTTGCACAAATTCAGCTTCATATGAATATCAAAATATAACTGCTAATAACCTAGCGCAATTGGTAACCATGGGAATTCCAATAGATTGTTGGAATACCTGGTCTTCAAAAACCACATAGATATTGTCAATCAGTAACTCAAGCATCTCTTTCATGTCAGCTTCAGAGTACTTGTGTGTGCAATAAAAATGTGTTTTAACAAAATAATTTTGCAAATGATCAATGACCAGGTAAGTAAATTTAAGAGTTCCGTTTTTATTTAAAAAGCAGCTGTCAATGATATAAAAAAAAATCCTGGTTCACACCACTTCTTGAATATATTGCTGCGCAGTGTGAATATTTTAGTGAAGAGTAACGAAAGAGGTTTGATTGAGCATTTTCTGGAACCTGCACTGTTTCTTTATTTGTGTCAATATATATAGGATAAATCAAATTCATTTTGACTCTGTGGAATATTAAAAACATTTAAAGCTAAAATATAATTTTGAAGAATTTCTTCCTTAGAAAGGGAAGTATGAGTATAAGTAAAATCAGCCGTACAAACGAATACAACGTTGTCACCTGCTTTGTCAGCAGGGACCAGTACGTACTGATCATGTAATTTTTCTAATTTTTTCCACTTCTGGATTATTGAACACAGAAATATAGACGATTTCCATATTGCCCATCAATCTTTCAATACGCGTGTTTAACATGGAACTGATGCATTTAATCCATTCTGAAAAAAATTCAACAATTCCACACTTTTACTTTGGCATTAACTTTTGGACGGTATGTGCTAGGACTTTATATCGAAGTAATGGCATGACTAAGAGTTCCTTAATTTGCAGACGTAATTCTATAAAATCTCAAAAGAGAGGGGATGTAACAGCAACCATTGGTCAGGTGTCTGTGGGCTAAAACGTGTTGCAAAAGGATTTTAAAGTTTTTTTTAAGATTATAGATTTATATAAGTCGGATTTTTGGGAGTTAATTTCTGGTCCAAAACTCTATGTCCGACTTATAGGCGAGCTATAAAATGAATGGTATTATATGAGGTCAGTCTATATGATATACGCTTATTAAATACAACCGACTTATAGGCGGACCGACTTATAGGCGAGTATATACGGTACATTGATTGTGATGCTACTTTTAAGGTATGCTTAAAATTATCACACAAGCCAATCCATTGATCATCTTCATGAATTCGAAAAATAAGACAGTTATTCCTTATATTTACATGCTTTGATTCCGCCAATCCACGGGCTCCAAGCCTGCTTCTCTCTAGGTGTTGTCCCGCCTTGCACGTGTTTTTTTTTTGGAACCGCGCCAAAACATTCATGAGGAAATCAATTACATTTACAATTGGTAATTTTATCTCGGACAAAGACATTGGAAATGTAAATATTATACAAATATGGACTCAATGTAGGTCAATATGCATTTATAATGACCCAGGATGACAGATATTGACCGAAGATACATGTAGTATATCGACCGAGGGCGCTAGCCCGAGGTCGATATACTTCATGTATCTGAGGTCAATATCTGTCTTCCTGGGTCATTATAAATGCATATTGACCGTGCATTGAGTCCATATTTATTATATTATATAAATAATAATTTCCCAATTTTTTTTAGTACAATGTATATCTTCCTTATGTTTACAGAGATAGTATTAACCATAAATAAGTTGAATGTAATTATGTTTCAGAATTCATTGAATATCACTCAGAGGAAATTGTTTCGGTAATAAATTTTAACCCATATCATAATAATAACGCAATATATCTATCTCCGAACAACACAGAATACTATAATACCCCTTCCCCCAGATTGAGAATCGCACTCGTTTACACTTGCAGAGGAAATGCACTCACAAATATAAATACCTATGTCTTCTAAGATAAGATACAATCTTACATGGCATGCTTGTCTTTATTTTCTTTAGCTCCGTAATCGCGTACACAGCGTCAAAACTCTGCTCGCCGAGTGCGTGGAAAAGTCAATTCAACCATGAAATGGTATGTGCTAAGTATTCCCGAAAAATGTTGACAGATATCCTTGTAATTGTTTTGTATTATCAGCCTCAGAGTTCTTCACTTTGTCTTTTAAATTTTTCTTACCTACAACTTGCGAACTTCCATGTTTGTCTAAAGCGAAAGTGAAAACGAGGCAGCTCGTGCGAGTCATTATTCGCTTTCAGCGGTCGTTATTAAAAAATAAGTACTTCGTATTGACCAATCAGATTATCGGATTTCACAAAGTTATATAATATAATGGAATATATGTTGGAAAGGATTAAAGTACATAAAAAATACCTCTTACTTGCATTTGAAAGTTTGAAAAAATATCAGGAGACACATAAACAAGGTTTTATTGTATAAAACAGGCACGTAGCATCGTTTTTGAAAGTGGGGGGGCCAACCTGAGAAAATTTTTTTTACTTACCTGAATAAGTTGACAAGCAAAAAAAAAAAAAAAAAAAAAAAAAAAAAAAACCGGAAAATTTTAAATTTGCCCAAAATGCAAAATCCGATTTCGTGGGGGTGGGGGTGGGGGGGGGGGGGGGGGGGTAGTGGCCAATTTTTTCAAAGCTAATTCACTTCCAATTTTTTCTCTACAATTCCTTCATATCACTATACTATGGTAAAAGGTGGGGGGGCCAGCCTTCCTCTCAATGAACATTTACTATAGTAAAAGTACTGTTGGACAAAAAAGTGGGGGGGGGGGGGCAGGCCCCCCTGGCCCCCCCTGTTGCTACGTCCCTGTAAAAAAAGGAGGGGGTCAAATTTCTATGGGGGTCATTTTTCAACGTGTGTGGAGTCATAGAATTACTGGTCTGGAATGTTTTTCTACAGTCGAAAAATGACCCCACTTGTCGTAGGATATTGACCCGGGGTCTTTTTTCTACGTAGAAAAATGACCCCCTGGTCAATATTCTACGGGGGTCACTTTTCGTCGTTACACAATCCACTACAATTGGTTCCTTCAAAAATTGTATAAACTCTCAGAAAACACCCACCCCGTCATTTTTTACTTTTGGTGATCGTTACTGGAGTGTAATTCATACTAGATTAAGACACAATTGTGTTCTAAATAAAGACTTATTTAGGTGTAATATTATTGACAGTCCACTGTGTACTTGCGGAAAAATGGAAGATGCATATCATTTCTTTTTTTCTTGTGTGAACTACACTGCCCCAAGAAACGATTTGTTCAATGCTATTTTTAGAATGATAAATTTACGTATTGTAGACACTCATGTTCTATTATGGGGAGATAATTCGATCAGTGTTTCTGAAAATGAAAGTTTATTTTTAAATGTGCAATTGTTTATTAAGAGATCTGGTCGTTTTTGAGTAATGCTTTTAGATTTGTATGCCCATACTACATTAACGAGGCTAGGGGGTGGCAGCCATTTTTAGACTATTTCAATCTCCTTTAAAAGGAGAGCTCCATATAAAGATATACAAAATGATAAAATTTTAAAACTAAAATATATGAATTTTTTCATTGCCAAATGATAGTTGACAGCTAAATATACCATATCTTAAAAAATAAGTTAAATCTGGTGGTTAATTTAAGATTAAATTTTTGACCCGCCAGCCTCCTTAATTCAATTCTGTATATGCATTGCCTATGTTAAATAATTTTATTGACCTTTGGTTCCTGTGTAAATTAATTTTGAACAATGTACTTTGTGTTACAAATTGTTTTAAAGGAGAGGACGTTCTAAGTTTTTAAGAACTTGTGTCCAATCCTTTTGTTATAACATCAAAACAATAAAATATGTTCAAACCAAACCAACTAAATAATAAATCGTTATAGGCTACTAACTTTTTAGCCCACTATTAACCATAATTATGCTCGTCATGGTATATGTTGCACAGGAAAATACAAACAAATAGGATGAAAAAAGTAAGTCAATCTTCCTTTATCATTACTTTTAACTCAAAAAGCATGTTATATATGACTAGAAACAGGTTATATTCACTTGGACAACTTGTGAATGATATCCGATCCCTATTATCAAATGCTTCTTAGTTGAATACTTTTTCATGTGTTCATGTTCAAGACATTAAATTAAAATTTATTAAAAAACATCATTGAGAATATATCTTGGTCCACTGTTTTAACGGATCTCTCCCACGAAATTTTTGTGACATGCATTTGAAGTTATACATTTCATTCAACCCTTTGTTATTTTGAATTTTACATTTTGAAGAGAATCCATCCAGATCTCTTCGTGAACATGTTTTTTTTCTCTCATTTTGTAGCTAGATTCAAATAAAAATATTCTGTTCATGACTTAACAAGAGGCCCAGAGGCCGCATCGCTCACCTGAGCAACAAGTTATATAAAAGCAAAAATCAGTTCAATTTAGAAAGTTTAAATATAAAAGTGGGTTAGGGGGAGGGAGTTTAATCAAAGTTAATTCTATACTTCCTACGGATGCTATTAAATTAATATGATAGATATATTGACTTGACTGTTATTAAGATAAAAATTTCTATTGATTTAGCCTTTATATTCCTTTGTATAACTATGATCCACATAAATGGCTCCTCTATGCTTCTGGTTGGTCATGATTTGAACCAAGTTAAATCTGCATTACCTTTTTGATGCTTTTATGTTGACGATCAACCATGGCTTTGTTGTTCTTGCGATGAATTTTAACAATTTTTTTTTAATGTATTCCTACGTAAAACCTTGATCACCTATTGTGATCCCACTCTACAACCGGAGGTTATGATTTGAACAAATTTGAAATCTACACAACCCGAGGATGCTCCCATAGAAATATGAACAATTACAGCTTTGCTGTTCTTAAGAAGAATTTTAAAGATTTTTTCTTTGTAATCCTTCTTAAAACCTTGATCACCCATCATGGCCCCACCTTTGCCTAAGAGGTCATGATTTGATTCATACACTACCTGAGGATGCTTTCAAAAAATTTGACTAATCATGGTTTAATGTTCTTGAGAAGAATATTTTTAAAAAATTTTTATATGTGTTCCTTTGTTTACATTTGATTCCCAATTGTGGCCCCACCCAACATCATGGGGTCATGATTTTAACATACTTGAATCTACACTACCAGAGGATGCTTCCACATAATTACTTGTATGATTTATCACGGCTTTGCTGTTCTTGAGAAGATTTTTAAAGATTTTCCCCATGTACTCCTATGTTTAACTTTGATACCCCTCTGTGGCCCCATCCTAACCCCTGGGGTCATGATTTGAGCAAGCTTTAATCTACACTACCAGAGGATACTTCCAAACAACTATGACCAATCATGGCTTTGCTGGTCTTGAGAAGATTTTTCCTGTGTACTCCTATGTTTAACTTTGATCCCCATTGTGGCCCCACCCTACCCCTGGGGGTCATGATCCGATCAAATTTGAATCTACACTATCTGAGGATGCTTTGACATGAGTTTCATCTTTCCTGGCCCAGTGGTTCTTGAAAAGAAGATTTTTAAAAGATACAATTAATATTTCATTAATTCATAATTATCTTCCCTTTGAAGAAGGCGTGGCCATTCATTTGAACGAACTTGAATCCCCTTTACCCAAGGATACTTTGTGGCAAGTTTGGTTGAAATTAGCCCAGTAGTTCTTGAGAAGATGAAAATGTGAAAAGTTTACAACCACAACAACGACGACAGACAACGTACAAATTTTGATCAGAAAAGCTCACTTCGGCTCAAGTGAGCTATAAACTAAAACACCATCTATGAACATTTCAATTCAAGCATGGAAGATTAAAAATATATACATATATATATATTTGTAAGCTCTTCCACTTTTTTAACAGATTTTAGTTCGTTTCTTGTCACCTTCAGAAACCTTAGGTGTGTCTTTGAAAACTTGAAAAAATGCGACAAGTGAAATAAGTGAGCTCCCTAGATGTAAGATCATATGTTTCACGTATATCAACGTTCGATGTAAATTTGGCAATGCTGTAGTATAAAGTTTGAGTTTATCATTTGAATTTGAATATATATATATATATATATATATATATATATATATATATATATATATATATATATATATATATATATATATATATATATATGTATATATATTTGTAAGCTCTTACACTTTTTTAACAGAATCAGCAAATCATCAGATTATCTGTAATGTGTTGAGCTAATGGTTACAAACATGGAGGCAATCAAGTTGATTTCAAATTTATTTCATTACATATACATGATTTCAGTACAGGAATAAACAGCAATATATACTAGTAATTATATAATTATATGAAATATATAGAGACAACAAAGAGTATTCAAAGTCAAAAGTCCATTAAACAATACAAAATAGGAGCAGAGCAAACACAGACCTCCAAAACATCAGAGGTGGGATCGGATGCCATGGAGGCGTGAGCATCCCCTGCCGACAGGTCACAACCGTCGTTTGCTCCTTGTCTGGATTGGGAAATAACGGGAAAATCCGTCGACAATTCAGTGTGTAAACAATGGCCTAACAATAAGTATGAAAAACCTCAGTCAGCATTTGACTTAATGATCAATGCAATTGTATTTGCTGACAAGGCCAATGTATCGACAATAGAGACTGCCCATATTCTTGTTTAGAAACTTGTTTGTCAATAACTTACCTCGTTTTAAAAAAATTCATACATAGAACATGCTCTGTAGTAGATTCGTGGAATTAACTGTACAAGAGCGAAAGAAGAACAACACTGACTTTAAAACTAAAATCCACTTTCATAATGAAAAAAAAAATTCTGGTATTTTTTTTTGTTTCCGTTTCCAACAAATACATATATCTTTTGTAACAATAACGTCCTAATTAAGGGGGGGGGGTTAAAGTGAGGGAACAGTTTTAAAAGTATGACATTTTACAGGTAAAAAAAACTGGAATCAAAGCAATTTTCAACATTAACTTTGATTTTTACTAAGATGGGGAAAAGTCCCGCAGATATAATTGACATGTGAAGAAAACAAAACAATCATTGAATTTAAAAAAAAAAATTGCACCAATGTGAAATCTGGTTTTAAATAAAAACAAATACAGCACACAGTTGATCTTTATATACACAAATGTACCTGTACTATAATATGAAACATCTCTGTATTATTGTTCGATTCTTACATATCTCTTCTTGTCACACAGAATTTTATCTTCCCTCCCTCTGTAGTCTCTCTGATATCTTTTAGAATTCCATGCTTTGGCTGTAAATATGCAGATAAAGATTAAAATAATTTATAAAATAAGTATTCTATTCATTATCTAACAAATGTAACACGGGCACAAAAGAACTCGAGGGGGGGGTCAAGGGCGGGGGTTACTCACTCATCTAAGCTAGCAGTTTCTGGGGGAAACTCTTTGGACCCTAGTAGCCAATAGGTGTGTACACTTCCCTTGAAAGTATTGTGCAAATCGACATCTACCTGAAAGACATGTAAAAATCAAGTTAAAAATAAATATACATATACACCCAAACACTTCAATAATACCATACCCCCTTCTCTCTCTGTCTCTCTCTCTCTCTCTCTCTCTCACCTGCACAAATTCATCAAAGCGCTCCTCAATGGTGAAATCATCGATTGCATTGAGGATATCCCGGGTTGTCTCGCTGATGTGAACTTTGTTTGCTAAAAATATTATTATACGAAACTGCAAAACATTGTTTAATTTAACATTTTATTTAGGCAAATTTATAACATTCAATTAATTTGAAAATTCTTTTTAATTACCATTCTAAATTTGATAAAATTCGAGATCTGGCACAGAATGTTAGATAGCAAAAGATTCTTTATTTTTCTTAAAACAATCGTATAGAGTAAAACAATCGGTAGGGTGAATTCATTTTAAGTTGCCCTGTTGATATGATATACTACTAGTTAAAATAAAATACCCATTCCCAAAGACTCCATCTTGGATGCTGTGTTGACGGTGTCTCCGAACAAACAGTACCTCGGCATCTTTGTCCCCACTACACCAGCAACAACAGGACCTAGTTGTAATATTAATCCTTAATTAAAAACATCCAAATGAATTTTATAGATTTGAATGCAACAATTACTTAATGCGATTAAATTACCAGTATGACAGCCGGTTCTCAGACTAAAAGTCATGCCAGGTACATGCGGTATTTCAAGGTCTCTTACAGATCGTACCAAATCAAGAGCCATTATTCCAATCTCTGCAGCATGGCGCTTGCCGTTTTGTCGAGGTACACCTGTTTGTTTTTACATGTTTGTGTTAAATTTATGCTGTCCATTGTATTTTTTTCTTACACAAACGTCTTTTATTTTGAATTTTGTCTTTATTCTTCAAAGGATTTTTAATCATGAGTTTAATCATATAAGAAATTCATGATGTTTGAATCTTACCGGAAACAACCATGTAGGCGTCACCTATTGTTTCCACCTTGTAAACGTCATAGAGTTCTATCTTTTTGTCAAAGCACAGGTAGAGGTTGTTCAGCATGTCAACAACCTTAAAGATAGAAGATGAATTCCTTAAGAATGTACAATGAGTAGGTTACACCCACCCATCCACAGAGAGAGAGAAAGAGAGAGAGAGAGAGGACCTGGTATGGAGAGCTGGAGGCAGCTATTTTGGTGAAACCGACGATGTCACTGAAGAAGATCGTGGCTTCGGAGTAGTGTTCAGCCTCTATGAGTTCATTGTTCTTCAGACGTTCTGCCACAGACTTTGGTAACATCTGATAAAGCAACGTGTCCGTTCTTTTCTTTTCCTTGTTCAATGCCTTTGTTCTGTAATGCATAAACAAATAATAGTGTCGTATCATTTGTCCTAACTATTACTGATATGCCATGATGAAATCGTTTAATAATAGAAAATGAAGTTTTACCTATTTGCAATTGAGAGTGAGTAGCTTTGAATCTGTACGGTTAGTTTAAACACTCCCAGAATTACCAAAGGACAGATAACCATGACAACGCCAAAGATACAACTGATTGAGATAATAACCTCCAGGTCCTCTTGTTCGCGTAGAGACAGCTGATAATCAATTTTCTCTGCCAGTCTTTTCTGAGTTTCTCTGATTGTCTCCTGATAATAAGTCATATTTTCAAACCAATAGTTGGCGGTCTCTAGGGACGGGTTCAGCTTGACGCTCTTGTTAGATCTTATCATCAGTCTCATTTTGGTGATTGGGGTCAGTAGTTTGGCCTTACTTCTGAGTTGTTCCTCATATATCTCATATGCCAATTCTGAATAGCGTTTGCAAGATTGAAAGGTAATGTTTGAATTTATTTGAGCTTCTAGGAAAAGAAGATAATCTTCTTTGGTTTCAAAACCCCCTCTTGCAAAGTATGTAATTCCCATGCCCCTTTCACGTCCGATGTATTCACTGGCGACGATAATCTCTTGATATGCCACCAGCGTCTTCCATACTGCTCCAGTCCGGGACTCCGATACTATCTCGTATAACCACGATATAAAAATCTCTATCACACTGGTGTAGAACTCCATTTCCTGCTTCGAAGTTCGGTTTTGTTGATCTAGCTGGTATCGATGGCGATTGAGGTACACCAAGAACTTATCTTTTGAATAAAATTCTGGTCGTCTGTTGCCCAGTCTACCGGGCCATTGGGACATGTTGGCCAGCGCTGCATCAGTATCAGGGTACCTACGTAACAGGTACTCTTTAGTGTCCTTACCAATGGCTCCAACATAGAGGGCGCTCATATCGCGCTCTCGCTGTATGTAACGCATCATTTGACCAAGCTCCACACTGAAAAAAATTAGTATCGACGTTTGAATTACTGAGTATACTGAGATCACAGTTTTATTTTCAAGAGATGATATCAGCTAAGGTGTGAAAAAAGCGAGGGTCTAGTGAGAGGGTCTAGTGAAAGGTGAGTTACTTTATTTTCTCAAAAAGTGATCTCAATTTAATTTTAGTATATAGAATAAACCCCTCCTGAAAATGTAGATTGGAAAGGATAGTGGTTAAGAATACTTTTTGTAAAGATTTGACTGGGGTTGTCAGTGCTTTTTTTTAATAATTGAATGGATTATAGCTTATTTTAATAAGCAATCTGACTGCTAGATATTCATGGATTATGGAAAAGACTTTATTTTCATTGTTTTGGGCCTCAGGAATCGGATAATGAAATTATACGTTTTTATTAACAATAACTCTGGGACGATCTATGCTAAATTTCAAATAGTTAAACCATGCTCAACAAAGAAAAGAAGAGAAATCCGAACATTATAGCCAACGAAAAGATGTCGACCAAGCGCAAATATCAGGTAGGAAACCTGAGTTATTCATGTTACATAAATCAGTTTTTTAATTTCGTATTTATGATTTAGGACGCAATGTAATCAGAATCAATCTACCCTTGTTTTGTCGTGTCGATTTTGCTGCATCGACATGCTTCAGCTGAACCATTAATCGGGGACAACTGACTTAAAAGGAATTGCGATTCTAGTGGGTTTTCGAGAAAAAAAAACACAAAATCGTTTCAAATGATATAATTTTTCATTTTATCACAAATAAAAAAGTTTCATATTTGCTATTTTGTCCAAAAAATGCAAGTCTTACGAGAAGAAGAGAGATGTCCTTATTCCGGTAGCCTCGTTGTAGTTTCTGACGACTGAAATGAAAACATTTCCCATCATGCCCACGAGGATTCCCATTGGTAGAAGGACGATAATCAACATCTTTATCAACTGCTTCCGCTTCCCGGCATTCGTGATTGGGTTGTCTGTAGGGCAAAATTCACTTTTTTAAAACTACGAAATAGAATTTCTCTTGAAAGATAACTATCTAAATTTTCCTTTTTTTAATCAGAATTCGATTAATTGAACGGAATTACATAGGAGATTACTTTGCCTGCTGCCCATATTCACTTATGTGAATAAAATTTTGTATAAATAAAAAAAAAAAATAGTAATAAGTTCGATCTTTATAATTAAAAAAAATACACCAAAAAGAATTTTCTCAATCATGGAAGAACTGTAAAAATTAAGTTTGGTTAATAATTAAAAAAAAGAAGTGACAAAAACGCATTACATTTTAATGAGTATGATTAAATAAGTGAGTGCATCTTTATTTCTCTCTTACAAGTTAAGGCCATTCTTAATCATAAAAGCACAAAAATGAGAAATTAAATTAATATACATTGGGTAATTCATTGTTATTGATCTGAATGGGCTTTTAAAACACGCAAGTAGATGCCTTTTTTACGATGATCGAGGCCTTTTGCCTTCCTGAATGAATACCGCCCTGTTGGAATGGCTGAGTTTTTGAATATTGACTTTCTAGACATACCTCTGCACATGGCTTCGCAGCTGTTTCCAGCTTGAGGCAGACTCAGCATGTCGCTGATTATAGTGTTGAGTTGAGACTGCGTCATTGAGCCCATAGAGCTATTCAGGGATAAATTCGTCTTGGACGCTGGTCGGATCTGGGATTTCTTCTTAAAGAATACCATGATCACTAAAAATCAAAATACACTATGTAAGTTCTTGACTCTTTATTCAAAATAAAACAACAAACTGCATAAAACTTAAAATAATTATTGATTTGAAAATTGTAATCTTATTTATTCTGGTTTTTCAGTGGTGAATGACTTATATTTGTAATTTGAAGGGATTGCTATGATTGGGAATTTACTTGATAAAGGAGGCGAAATTTCTGTTGATTGGGGACTTTCTTTAAAATATTCTGTCATTATTATAAGAAGATAATGAAATTATTCTCTGTTATGTCAAGAGAGTTTGATACCTTGAGCACTTCTTGATATTTTGTTTTATAAGCAAATTAGACCAATGTCACTTTACTTGATTTCAACGCCAAATTGAATGCGATCCTTCAACTTCTTTAAAGATTTTTATTTATTAATTCATTTTGCTGATAATAAGATTAATTAAATACGTTTGAATGTTGTTGTTTGTTTTCAAGTCTAATTAATACATAAAAAATATCAAAATTTCAATAGGTTCGTACATATGTGCTCCTCCTTAATCTAGACAATAATAGGTATGGCGTATTTGCACTTTTTTTTTTATCCCTTTACATCAATGATGTAAATAGGTTTGAACCAGTTTTCAGTTTCGAATATTTACCTTAACTTACTAAAAAAGAAAAAAAGAAACACATAATATAGACTTTATATTAACTTCATCAACACCAATATGTCATTTCTCCGTATCATTTTATAACCATAAATAAAAATCATAAAATCTTATTGTCATCTTGTTTTCATGATTCCGATTCCCTTTCATTTACAGCAAAATGAATGTTTCTTCATATTCCCACGTAAATCTAACCAAATTTCGGGGAAGTATCACCGGAGAAAATAAGTGTCAAACTTTCCGGCAACAATAAAACATAAAAATGCTAACGATGGAATAGCACTTTATTATAAACTTAGGTCGGTAGGGTGAATTCTGGAAATCCAAAAATTGCACCCGAACAACCCGAAGCCTAGGAGTTAACTGATTAACAATGATTCGTGTAACATATAAATAATAAAATATAACAATGGCAATTAGCACAATTCTGAGCATGAGTGACAGATGGCTTAGATGGAATAACTCATGACATGTTAAAATCGCTGCTTTTCATTTCCGGAAATATGCATAGCATTTCCGATATTTTTTAATTTCATTTCCGACATTTTTTGTTTTCATTTCCGACATAATTTTGTTTTCATTTCCGGAATTTACCTGTGCGGCAATTCAATGTTTTCTAAGTAAGTGAAAATGGAATTTTAAAAGTATTTATTACAAAATATTGATAAAAAACCATCTACACATGTATGCATACATGTAGCACTAAGTCAAGGTAAAAGAGTTCTATGAGCATAAACTTTTTCACCACATCTAATGTGCACTTAATTAAATGTGACTGACAGCACCACGTTTATGTGCAGGTCATTGATAAATTTACAAAACTCAGATATTGGATTTCAATGATTTATTTATGGGTGTTTTTTTTTTTTATTTTTTAAAAGTAAAGTCTTCATATTTGTTACTAAAAGTACTACAATTTGAAAAATGTCGGAAATGAAAACAAAAAAATGTCGGAAATGAAAAATAAAAAATGTCGGTAATGAAAAGTTGATAATTACAAAAAATTCCGGAAATGAAATGCAGCCGTTAAATAAATTGATTAAATAATTAATTTTCAGATTCGGAGTTACATAGTAATTAGCATAATTAAAGTTTTTCATGTTGTTTAAAGTAATTACAGTAAATTAAGAGTATATTTTAAAGTCAGCTAAAACATGTCACTAAAATTGTTTTTATAAAAAATCACACCGTGATAGAAGATAAAAAAAATTACATGTTCAATATTTATTGCTTTCCTTTCCAAATATATGAACTTTGTAATTAAATACCGAAAAGACGTACATGTGTAATATTAGGGAAAAAAATGAGAGGGAGGTCTGCTTTAGAAATGCATTATCGAGAATCAATATCTTTTTTCATGATAATTTTTTTCCCCATTACATTTTTATAATAATTAAATTAAATCATTTATTGTATATAATTTTATTTCAATTACAGTTATATTTCACATCCTACCTTTATTGGAAGATACCAGGTCTGTCTTGTCTTCTGCCGCTGGGTGCCAGGTATGTGCTTCGTCTTATCTTATCGTATCTTTTTTTTTTTTTTAAAGATTTGTTGTTTTCCTTATACCAAGAAAATGGCAGACATGTGTGCTTTATCTCACATTTCCGGAATGTTGCAAAAGTCTAACTATTGGTTGATGCTAGACTGAAAATATCTTGCGGTGGTCCAACTACAAAGTAATATTGTTATAGTAACGCGTCCATTTTAAATTATCAACTTATGACATCACAGATCGATTTTAATTTGTAAATCTCTATCTACGATCTAGGTTTAACTTGTAATTAATTATCACCTCATGTTATTACATCATTTACAGCTGAAATTAGTTATTCTACTTAATGTGATAATCTAATACCCTAGGAAATTTTCAACGTACTATAGAAATTATAGAAACGTAATCTGTTCAGATAAAACCAATTTGGAAATAAGTTTCACAATATATAATGAGAAATTCTGATGGAAAAGAAGTGAATTCTAAGGAACTATGGGAGGGATCTTCTATTTTTTTTCATGACCAATGAGTCATATATATTTTATATAATAGTATATTTTTAGTTCATCTGATTAACTTACGTGAGCTACAGCTATCTAGTATAAGCAACCAGCCAACGTTTATAAACAGCATCAACAAGCAAATGATTTATTCAATATTATAACTAGCATTGAAATACTTTGAAATCAGCAAAACAGTTGAAATTTTACCAGGTTATTTTCGCCGAATATTATTTCGCCCTTTCACAGTTGCAACAAGTTTGTCCCGTTTTAAATTCGCACAATTGAAGTTCTGATAAGGAATTACAATGTGTTCTGTGAATTCGACCCTTTTAAATTCGCCAATAAGCGAGGAAGACAAAAGGTAAAATTTTCCCTGTACACAGTAATCTGCACTAAAAAAGAAAAGAAAATGAGTAAATTGTTCAAAATATGACTTAAATAATTATAATGTATATATATGTATATGACGGTTTTTAAAAAGTGTGTTAAATTCATTGCTTTTGGACTCATTTATCTACTGGCATTGATCTACTTATAAAAAGGGAAATATTGCATGATTCAGCAAGCACAGGAAACATTCAAATAAAAAAAAACCAAAAAACAAAACCATTTAAATCAGCAAACAAGGGATTGTAAAAAAAAAAAAAAAAAACCTGTCTCACAAATGTAACCTCGACTGTTTTCTATAGTGTTGATTATACGTCGTGTGACGTTTTCAACATTTTCAACTTCTATTTGAATCAATGAACCCATATTAAACAATTTATTGTGAGAAGTGGAGAAAAAATTTAATTAATGGTACCTCTACCCATAGGGTTTGAAGGGGTTGGTTTAAATTATCAAAGTTTAAACAATATTTTGAAAATATCTTTATTCCTGGACACATAACTGTAAAATTATTGATTTTATTGTTATATCCATTGACTCTTTTACCAATATTGCGAAATTCCTGTCACCAGAGTCAGGTGGTTCCTAGTGTGAGGACAGAGCTTAAGTAACTTCATGTAGTATTTCACTTGTCTTGCCTAGCTGCATAAAGTGGTGAAAAGTCATTCGTTTTATAATGTAATATATAATTTTTGTTTGTATGTAAATCATTTTTATTAAATTGGACTGATAAAAATCTTAAATACTGTATCTTGTAAATTTATACAGTGGAATTTGAGTACAAAATATAGCAGGTTTCAACCATTATAAAATACGATGGACACTTTATAAAACCATGGAATATATACAAAAACATTAATTGCACGAAAACAAACAGTATTATGATTGCACAACTGTATAACATGACACAAAATAGTTTTCAACTATTGATTTTCTACCTAAATGTCAGAGAAATATCACAATCAGATATCTTTAATGTTTAAATATGTGTCTTTAGATATCTATTGATTCAAAGATCTATGTATTGATTTACAAGCACTCGAATTATTTTGTCTCACCATTCAAAATAATCTTCAAAACAAAAGAATATTCCATTTAAATTTATCATTTGAATGCATTGCATAACTTACGCCAATGCATTGAATTTTAAATCTTTGAGATTTTTCTGACACAAAAAGTGTACTTCCGTTAAAGATTGATTGATTGTTTAGGATTCAATTTTTTGATATGTGTATGCAGCTCAATTGCTTGTGAGGAACCGGCTGAGAATTCGATATTGTCCATTATTTCCACAGAATTCTGCATAACAATGTCACGGGAATGGTTTTATCCTCCAAAAATACCGAAAAGTAATGGTTACGAAGTGTCTAGGCCAGACAATAAAGGTAAAAGATTGGCGATACTGGAATCGATTGTAGAATCCCAAACATCACCTTGGAATTCTGAAGTAATTCCAGGAGTGGAAAGACGTCTTGGATCTCCAAGGGAACATGACAACAAAAATGACTCGGAATCGGACTCTGAAATTAATTTTGGGAAGGATACGTATCTCGGCAAATCATCAAAGCGAGACATCGGAGAGAGCGTGTTCTTTGACCCTGCTGGGGGTTCGTTCCACTTCGATGATTTTGGAAGCCAAAATAGCTTGCATGGAGAAACGTCTGCAGAATCTGGAGAATGGATTGATAAGATTCTCGGGGGTACCTTCAAAAGAAACTATCTAGACCGCCATTCCTTCAGAGTAAGTACATTTATTATAAAGTGTTCATGATATTGTATATGTTCATGAGTTTGCATTTTAAATTCCAAAAAAAAAATTCTTTAAACATTGTTTGAAATACATAGACAATCATTTAAATGTTACATTAGATTGTCACACAATAAAATATTAAAACTTCTTTCCAAGAGATTCTTTAATTATACCAGGTGCTTGAAACATTTTTATTTTTCTAAAATCTTTCTTTTTTTTTCCTCTTTCTTTACATCTGACCAGGCAAGTCTGCGTTTAAATACGAAATCTCCCATAAGACATATAGAGTTTCGACCGGAAAGTGACCGAGATTCCACAAGTTCCTACGAACCAAGAACAAGCACATTGCTTAGGACTGTATTGCTTATTCTGGGAGGCATTGCTTTAATATGTCTGGTGGTTTCTCCAATTATTGTGTTCATCATTGTGCAAGGTAAATCAACCCTTACACTATTGTTCGCTGGTAAATTTATATTTTATAATTAAAAAATAAAATCACTTGGCTTAATCTAAGAAAAAGTTTTGCAAGAGGATAACATTTATTTTTAATTCATTTCAGATGACGACACAACGTTTAAAACATACTGTAAGTGATAGATAAATGACCATATGGATATATTACTTATTGCCTGTCCTACACCTCATATATATATGTTGAAATTGTATTAATGTTTTATATGCAGATGTTGCCGACAGTGAAATAACCGTTAATCAATCGTACGTTGAGCAGTTTAAAAGTCCAGACTCCAAAGAGTTTAAAAACTTTAGCGCAATCTTTTGCACAGAGGTGGGTTCTTCAAATATGTTGAATGAATATTGATCTTAACATAGATACTCAATTATAATGGCATTTTTTCATATCTTTATCTGCATGCTTTTTTATTTTAAAATGATTATATCTCCTTTAACCCGAATATATCATGAATGTTTAGATGAAGAATGTAATACAAGAAACAAATATATCGCAGGTGTATAGAGACTGCAATGTCAAGGAATTAAAGTAAGTGCCAATATTATTCTCAAGATCTCAAGGATCGATCAAGGCATAGCAGCTTAATTTAATAGTACATTTTACTTGAAATGATGTTGATTTTTTAAATGAAAAAAGTATGTTAAAAAACTTTCATATTAATTAATTTGTTTTACAGAAATGGAAGTGTTATTGTCTTTTTTCAAATGGTTTTTACCACCGAAAAAATTCTAACCAGTAAAATAATCGTAGATTTCATAATGAACGGAAGTTCTTATCAAAAAAGTAGCTCGTCAATACAAATTGATATTATCATTGACTCTTTGAAAGTTTCTGTTATTGAAACAAAAACATTTGATAAAAAGAGTGACCCTTACGAACAATCCATAATTACAACATCATCACCTACAAGCACACAGTCAACATTTACGATCAATATAACTGTCAACCAGTCCAATTTTACAACTGATTTTTCAAATACATCCACGACAGTCGTGGAATCTTCCACTGTTGAATTCACAAATGTCACCGGACCCACAGAACAATCAACAAGTGCCACTCTACCACAGTCGCAAAGTACAACGAATGTTTTGACTTCTTCTGATTCCTCCACAGAGAATTTAAAGTCGAGTTCAGAAAGTTCTTCCACAGAAACATCCACGCCTCCATCTACAACATCCATGCCTCTATCTACAACATCCACGCCTCCATCCACAACATCCATGCCTCCAATTACAACATCAACACCTCCATCTATAACACCCTCGCTTCCATCTATAACATCCACGCCTCCATCTTCAACATCCACGCCTCCATCTTCGAAATCCACACTTCCATCTTCAACATCCACGCCTCCATCTACAGCATCCACGCCTCCATCTATAACATCCACGCCTCCATCTATAACATCCATGCCTCCATCTTCAACATCCACACCTTCATCTACAACATCCACGCCTCCATCTACAGCATCCACGCCTCCATCTATAACATCCACGCCTCCATCTTCAACATCCACGCCTCAATCTACAGAATCCACGCCTCCATCTACAGAAATAACTGTTGTAGACCTGACATCTACTGTGTCAACAAATTTTACAATGGAATTTTCAAAATTTTCCACAAAAGCGTCGGAATCTACCACCTTTAATTCTACAAATGCCACTAGAAGCATAGAACAATCAACGAGTGCCACCGAATCGATTGTGCAACACACAACGAATGTTTTCAGTTCTTCTGACTCCTCCACAAGAATTTTAGAGTCGAGTACAGAAAGTTCATCCACAGAGACAACAAATCCCTTCACAACGAAATCTATAATTCAAAACCTTACATCTACCGATCAATCGAATTTCACAACGGAATTCTCAAATGCATCCACAACAGGCATTGAATCTACCACTGCTGAATCCACTAATGTTACTGAGCTCATAGAACAATCAACAAGTACCGGTGTGCCACCGTCGCAAAGTACAACGAATCTTTTTATTCCTTCTGATTCTTCCACGGATATTTTAGAGTCGACTACAGAAAGTTCTTCCACAGAAACATCAACACCTCCATCTACACAGACTGTTGCAGATTTGACATCTAATATCTCAACAAATTTTACAATTGAGTTTTCAAAATCAACAACAGAGCAATCAACAAGTACCACTGTACCATTGTCGCAAAGTACAACGAATGTTTTTGGCTCCTCTGTTTCCTCCACAGAAATTTTAGAGTCGAGTACAGAAAGTTCTTCCTTGGAAACCTCAACACCAGCATTTACACAAACAATATTCGTGAACCTAACATCAACCGACCAAACAATGGAAATCTCCAAAGAATCCACAACAACCGTGGAATCAACCACTTTTAATGCCACAAATACCACAAGAACAACAGAGCAATCATTAAGTACCAATGTACCACTGTCGCAAAGTACAACATTTAATTTTAATTCCTCTGATTCTTCCGCGGGGGTTTTAGAGACGAGTACAGAAAGTTATTCCACAGAAACGTCAACACCAGCATCTACACAAACAACCTTTGTAAACCTATCTTCAGACCAAACTAATTTTACAGGTCAATTATCAAATACATCAACAACAGCCATGGAATATACGACTTTTAGAACCACAAAAGCACCAGAAATCATAAAACAATCGACGACTGCATCAGAATCATTGAAGCACAGTACAACAAATATTTTAATTTCTTCTGACTCCTCGACAAGGATTTTAGAGTCGAGTACAGAAAGTTCGTCCACAGCAACAACAAAACCCTTCACAACAAAATCAATATTTGAAAACCTTACATCTACCGATCAATCGAATCCCACAACGGAATTCTCAAATGCATCCACAACAGGCATTGAATCTACCACTGCTGAATCCACTAATGTCACCGAGCTCATAGAACAATCAACAAGTACCGGTGTGCCACCGTCGCAAAGTACAACGAATCTTTTTATTCCTTCTGATTCTTCCACGGAGATTTTAGAGTCGACTACAGAAAGTTCTTTCACAGAAACATCAACACCTCCATCTACACAGACTGTTGCAGATTTGACATCTAATATCTCAACAAATTTTACGATTGAGTTTTCAAAATCAACAACAGAGCAATCAACAAGTACCACTGTACCATTGTCGCAAAGTACAACGAATGTTTTGGGTTCCTCTGTTTCCTCCACAGAAATTTTAGAGTCGAGTACAGAAAGTTCTTCCTTGGAAACCTCAACACCAGCATCTACACAAACAATATTCGTAAACCTAACATCAACCGACCAAACAATGGAAATCTCCAATGAATCCACAACAACCATAGAATGGACCACTTTAAATACCACAAATGCCACTAGAACAATAGATGCATCAACATATAACAATGTACCATTGTCTCAAAGTACAACAGTTGATTTTAATTCCACTGATTCTTCCACAGGGATTTTAGAGATGAGTACAGAAAGTTCTTCAACAGAAATTTCAACACCAACATCTACACAAACAACCTTTGAAAACATAATATTATCTTCCAACCAAACTAATTTTACAGGTCAATTATCAAATACATCAACAACAGTCTTAGAATATACGACTTTTAAAACCAGAAAGGCAACAGAAGTCATAGAACAATCAACGACTGCAACAGAATCATTAACACATAGTTCAACAAATGTTTTAATTTCGTCTGATTCCTCTTCAGGGACTTTGGAGACAGGTACAGAAAGTTCTTCCACAGAAACAGCAAATTCAGATATGACAACAAATCAAATGTTTCAATCGTCTACAGAGTCTTCTACAAAACAAACCACTTCATTTTCAACAGAAATGGTCGATTCAACACCAAGCATGTCAACAACATCAACTGCTAACGAAATAAGTCTCGAAACTACTACACAGACTGATATATCAATATCACCATCTATAGAGATAATTAATTCGTCATCCACTGTGCCTACAGAATCTGCTGTTTTAAAAACAACTACCGAACCGACCCCCAAATTAACAACAATGAAGATAACATCAACAACTTCAGAAGTTATGGATAAGGAATCTACCACTCAAGAAGAAATATATTCGTCGACAACGAGTTCAACACCGGTAATAAAAACATGGCCCTCAACAGATAAATATAATTCATTTTCTACAGGAATGTTTGATTCCACGTCAAGCGAGACAACAACAATTTCTGCTATTATGCAAACAACCCAAGAAATGACCAAGAAACTTACAACATCGACATTAACAACGACAGAAGTTCAGCTGTCAACATTATCAGATACAATTACAGAGGTAACCAACACATCAGAGGGCATACAAACCACAGTGTTTATACAAACACCTTCAAACTCATCAGCAACATTAAATACGACAGATTACCCATGGTCATCAGAACCAACAAGCACAGAGTTACAAAATAATTCTGAGAGTTCAACAACTTCTCCATTTACGGCAACACTGGAGGACAATTCTTCAGCTACAAATTCATCAACAATATCTACAGTGTCGTCCTCTACAAATATGTCGACAGTGTTAACTATTATGCAAGTAACAACAGTTCATGAAGAAGAAAGTGCAGACTCTTCAAATATGGTCACACCAACAGCTCAAGTGCAGGGTACTGTGACTACGACTACAACTGAAGTAAATTCGCCAGAAACAGGTAACAGATATTTTCATCAAAGAAAGCAATACAAATAAAATAACATTTCAACACTATTCTTATGGATATGTGCAAAATATTTAGAAATAAGAAAAATATTTCATAGTTCACTGCAATTAATTGATATATTCACAAACTTCAGACACTTTGAATTTGGAAATATATAGATTTTCACTGATGTTTTTTTGTATGGTTTAGCAACTGTCTAAAATTATCTCAGAGTTGTGTTATTTAAAAATTTGAGTGTCTTTATCACTTACATGAGAGAAGAAACCAAATAATTTTACAGATACAACGTACACTATAAAACACCTTCTTTATGTGTGTATCCCATTTAAAATAACCTCTGATGATGCTTTTCTGATTGTCAAGAAAGCTTTGATTGATGTACCACCCATCCTCCAAGTGAAAAATTTTAGTTGTTCTTCGAGCATCGTACTGAGATTGCATTCTACGGTTCTGTCATAATCATAAAGATTGAGGATTTAAACCATTTTTATGCCTTCATAATCGAATACTCGTGGGATATACTTTTTTCGGTCCATTTGCTCACTATTTATCATTCCACAAAAATTTTACCTTGTCGATCCAAATTTTTGAGTAGGTAAAGCTATCATGATTCCTTTTATACATCACAGGCCAGGCACGTAGCAACAGGGGGGACTTTTTTTTCCAAATATTACTTTTAATATTGGAAATGTTCATTGAAAGGCTGGTTGCCCCCCCCCCCCCCCACAACATACTGCAGGTAATTGATATCAGGGAAAATTAGTATTGAAAACCAAAAAATTGGTACTGAAAGAAGTTGGCCTTTTTTTGCTTGTCAACTTTTTTTTTCTCTGGCTGCCCCCCCCTCCCCCACACACTTTCAAAAACGATGCTATGTGGTTGCAGGCGTATTCCTTTTGACCTTCTTCGGGTATCTACAAAACTGACAACTTGATCTTGACCTCGAAGTTTAACCTAATTTTGACAAAAATACCAAAAATTTAACCTTGACCATCACTTTTAAACTTTTTGCGCTGCTACTTTAATACTTCATAAAAAGTGACAGATCTTGTATTAAAGATGAATATTTTGACCTTGACCATAAGTTTAAAATATCAATTAAGTACTTTGATTCCTGCGACAAGATATGCCTTTTGGATATCACCAATTCTGTTCCTTGGAGATTGACCTACTCTTGAAAAACTAAAATCTTGATCATAACTTTTGAACAGTTTGTGCGAGAGCTTTTACATTTTATGTGTTGATATTTTAAAACAAGGTCCACCTGAGTACCATAAATGTTTACCTTTTCATCTTAACCTTGGTGTTTGGTTTTGTTTTTAGATACATTTATTGTAAATTAATCTTGGTCAGGTCTTTTGAGTGGATAGTATTTGAGCTTTTATGTTTCAAAAATATATATTCATTGAGACAAGTCCTTTGTTTGGGCAACAACATTTGAAATTTTGCGACCTTGGACATTTGAGAAACTTCCACCTTTGCTATTACATGTAGCTATCATACGTACGGGAGGGATTTCTTTAAATAGTTTCATTTAACTTTTTTTCTTTAAGTTTAAATATAATTAAAGTCTCATATGAACTGAAAAGTATAATTTTATTTGGTTTTTTTAGCTTCAGGGAGAGATAATACTCTAAATCTTCTAGCTGGGATGGAGTACACCGGAATTCCGCTCTGCAATATTTCTGTGCAAAACGTCACATGGTTCACGTTTGAGTTTTCCCTTGACTCCAGGAAAGTTGGAATACTACATAAAAATTTCTCTGAATCGTTAGATTCCATTAGTCCATTTGTTTCATATTTTGATCAGAATTCAGAAACAGTGGCAGTGAAATTAAACGTTTCTTTGGAAAACATTAATATCAGTCTGTGTTATACAAGGAGAATATATGTTTGCAAGCTTGATCATGAAAATGGAACACATTCAGTGGGTGGTGAAATATTCATAGCAGGTAACGAATCCCTTTATAAAATAAATTGAGCTCGTTTTTGTTATTATTCAGTAAAATATCTACTAAGTACTAAGTATTTCTTTAACTGAATCCTTTTTCATTTTTAGCACCAATGCACAGTGTTGTCATAGACGACAGAATATCCTACAACACAGGAGATGAAATCGAAATTAACTGTACGTCGCGCTCTGGAAAAGATGCTTACAAAGTGAGCATCGAAGCACATTTACAAGGGAATGAAACACGTGTATATCCCGATGCGACTGAATATGGTGATTTAGATAACGATTGTACAGTTCTTTTGGTTTGGACATTCTCGCTTGCATATTATGCAGTACCTGAAATTTCAAATGCAACAATAAAATGTATATTAACGAATACCATCCTAAACGACAAACGCATGGATGAAAAGAATATAACAGTTACATAACAAATAAAAACATCATGTATTGGATTGAAATCTTAAGTATTTATTGTACAAATCCACTATTCTCTCTCTCTCTCTCTCTCCCTGATTGCACATTTTTTATACCGCACCAGCAGATTTTCTCTAGCTTCAGTTTGAATTTCAGAAGGGTATACAATTGAACACACACACACACACCCTACACACACACACACACACATATATATATATATATATATATATATATATATATATATTCAAACACATTTAAATTGTATTTAAAGGATTGAATATAACATGATTTTCAGTAACAAAACATATTTGATAAATAGATGTAGTGTATCCAGCAAATGTCAGTAAATCTGATGTCACTGCCAACTGAATTGGATAATTTATACGATTCATTGCTGGATGTGTCAGAAATAAACAGTAATTTCTGGTTTCTCTTTTGTGACATGTTCTTCCGGAACTATGATCTGAAAAAAGACAATACAGTATTAGGTAACTTTTATACGCCATAATGTATAAAGATTCACAATTTTCATTTCATCTATTACATTATTTTGATATTTAGTTAGCCATCTTCATTTTGAAAAAGAGATATCGTCAGATACGTTTTGTCATGGCATTTTTATTTTTGTAAAGAATTAATATGTTTTGGAGAAATAAAGGTGGCACGTTTTGTATGCAAGTTTATATTATCACTTACATTACACAGTGTGACAAAATTTAAAAAAAAAAACATTTGTCCATAAAATTTATATGTGTGATACGAATTAAAATACATTTTTGACATAATCGTGAAACTACTATTAATTTAACGTCAGATTTGGCCTTACGGCTTGCACAATTTGTTTACACTCTTTAAAAGTAATAAGCATTGATTTAATTTTCAACATTTGCATAATTGGTCTAAATAAAGAAGATATCGTATACAACTAGCAGTGTGATCAACATTTTCTATATATACAGAATATGTTTAATTAAGACATTGTATTTATCTGCGACCGAAATGACAGACAACTCTCGCATATAATAACAGAAATTGGTGAATATGAAAATGAATGGGATTCTAGTAAACTTTTTTGAAAAAGATCTATCACCTGATTTTGAAATTCAAATGATTTGAAATGTACTTTCACAAAAATAATATAATACTGTGTACGTTTATTAAATGATGTGCATAAACATAAAAAGAAGCTGTAAAGTTTAATGTTTCAATAATGTTTCGAAACTTCATTTTTATTGAAATAATTTATACATGCAAAGTATCAACCAAATGTACATATGTATTTATACTAGATAATATCATGACTTAAATCATTGATAATGCAAATTAAAACCAAAAATGCCAGATTCAAAAGTAATTCACTCGCATTAAATAAAAATGAGGCACTCTAATTTCACGATTCACATGCAATTACCTATTGACAGCGATAATAGGTCATCATTAATTTCTTCTGCAAAAATATTAAAAACATATTCCAATGAGATAATTTTCCTCGTATATTTAGCTGTTATAAGCCAATTAATATATAAAAGTGTTGTTTATTAAAATTATAATTATACTTACATCTGATCCAAATGTGGAAGATGGAGGATTTGATCCCGCCCACGATAATGAATTTGCATTTACTCTCGGACTCCTTTTGTGTTTTTCCATCAACACTTTATGACTGTCACCTGTGCTATCACTAGTGTCACTATTACTGCTGATCTCTTCCACGTGAAAAGTCCTCATATGATTCTGATATTCAAAATTGTCATCATACGGGATGACAGCAGTCTCTATCTGAATTTCGCCGTTCTGCCGAGCGGCGGGAAGTCTAAAATTTAGAGGATTTTGCTGTATTGTGGTATGACTGTCTACATCTGAAGTTTCCTCTAATTCTCCGTCAAAATTAATGTCCATTTTAGAAGACGGGTCAGGTGACGGACCCCCTCGCTGATATGTTAACCCCCGAGGATCCATTCCTTGTCGTATTTTTGCTCTGTCGAGTTGCTCCTCCACAAACTGTCGTCTGAAAAAGTTGAATACTTTTTAGCCTTAATTCCAATGCTTTTGACACATAGATGGGATTGATAAAAACAATTGGGTTTGATAAAAACAATTGTCATCTGTACTAAAAATCTATTGCAAATGTTGCCCATTTCATTGAGACATAAAAATAGCAGAAATTTAGATTAATTCTATCGCCTAAATTCTATCGCTACACGTATTGCTGGCGTTAATGTTTAATTGAATTTTCAGATTTCATTTAAATATCACCATCTATATACCTAGCATACAAATACACAAAATTATAAGCACGCACACTAAAAGTTGAAATGCAGTTTGGAATACTAGCAGTTAAAATGTAAATTGTACCTGTAACAACTAAAGTAAGAGGCTGAAGCACTTGTTGTTCATATTTCAGAATTATTTTTTTAGCTTATAACAAATCATTACAAAAGAAATTTTTTGTCCATCTTTTTAACTATTTTCATAGCATTAGTGATATAATTTTTTTTAAATGAATTGTCAAAGAAAGATTCAACTATAAATACCTGCGGATGATGTATATGACCAGAAATATTATAACAAATAAAAGTATGGCTGCTACAATTCCTAAGATAATCGCAATGAGGTCATTGCTGGAAGCCATGTCCAAAGCGCTGGTATTCTTGATAACTCTAGCTGGAAAAGCAACAGTTACCACGGCAACAGATTCAAGCTGGGGAGATCCGTTATCTTTGACACTTATAACAACTACATATTCATCTCTAACATAGTCGTCCTCACTTCCGGTCAGTGAAACAACACCTTCCTGTGACACAGCAAACAGGCTGAAAAAAATTAATCGCTAGGGTTAAAACCGATGCAGAAACCTATATCAAAATAATTTATCAAATTGTCTTAAAGGGGTAACCCTTATGCATGAATTATCCCACGGTTCAAACTACCTTAGGTGTCCCTGGCATACCCAACAAACTAGACAATGATTCCTTATATTTCCATTTTATTTCGAAATATAATTGTAAATTTAGATTGTCTAATCGGTTTAAATTATACAAGGTTTCCCATATCAATTTCAATTTAAACTTACATTATGACACAGGAGAGGCGCAGGTAAATATAGACCCCTTTAGCTCCAGACCTTTCCCTTGGCGAAATAAACATTCAGGTAGAATGATCAAGAAATCAACTCACCTTACTTTCAAAGAGTTATCACAGAGAAAATAAATAGAAATGAAAATCCATATATCTGTATCAAAATCATTTATCAAATTATCTTAAAGGATCCAACTGAGACTTTCAAAAGGTCATCTAATTTTTATTGTTCTCCTTTTTTTCAAAAAAAGAAGAATTTTACATGAGAAAAAACTTTAAATTCATAAACCTCATCTATCAAGAAGGCCAACTAAATCTAAATTAATTAAACGTAATTAAGAACATGGTATGCACATAATCCCGTGTACGTGATGTTGAATTAATTTGCAACACTCTGACCAATAGATTCAATGTTACTCCCTAACCAGTAGAAATCCTTATGCTCTCTCCTTTTCTCTCACATTTATATTAATTCATCAGGGTAAACTTATTTTCACACACATTATTAGATTAAATCATTTTAAAACTTTACCAATGTATATCATTTTTAAAAGTCAAACTCAAGTCAAAACAATATTGAAGTCATACGAAACATACTGATTCTTTTATTAACTTCTAAATGTAAACTTAAACAAAAGAATCAGACATGCTGTTAAACTTTGTTTATATTTCTTCTTTATTTTCAATCAATAATAATTTTTTTTTTTTACAAAATGAATAGGAAGCGAAGAAGAATGTAGTATTTCAAAAAATAATCTAGCTGATAACCAAGTGGTAGTCTTGCAATTTTGCTTTCTCTTTGAATTAATTTGAGTGAATTTATCTTTGGATATTAAACTTTCCACGATAGAGATCAATAAAAAGACTAAACAGAAGCATAAATTTCAAGTAGACCAAAACGTTTTTATAACACCTGTATTTATAATTTTATTTATACGTATTAAACATTATCAAAAAGTTGCTTTACCTTTTATGGGTTACGACAGAAAACGTGAGTGAAGTGTTTGGATCCTTGTCCACGGCCTACAATGAGAACAGAATCACAGATCAAAAGAGTAATCCCCTGATCAAACATGCAAAAATCACCGAATAATTTAACTTCTGCGTGATAAGGCATAATAATTGTCCTGACTTTAAATGTGTCTACCATTACTTGTAATCTACATAAAACTAAAACATTCTATGGTAAACAAATTTGAAAGTTAAATAATTTGCTAATACTGATTCTAACATAAAACCACGCTTATACCGAACACTTTTCCATTGAATAGGAGTTCTCAGCGAATTGAATTTCATTTCCTGCGATATTATTATATATGGTATAATATAACAAATTATGCTTAAAGAAAATAAAAAATTTGTGTTTTTTTGTTATAGGCATGTTTAACTTTTATATAACATGCTTGCTGTTTCAGAGTGTTAAATCAAAATTCTGAAAGTTTTTTTTTTCATTTACACTCAACAATATATCGTAATTGTAGCTAAATGAAAACAAGACCTTAAATGAAAGAAACGGAGTACAATTTTTTCTTGCATTAAAGATATACACGTATACTTCAAGCATTTTAAAACTAAAGGGGAAATTCAAGCATTTTAAAACTAAAGGGGAAATTACAGCTTAACCCTGCCAAGCATTGCAAAAGTTGAACGAATCAACTTCTATAAAGTTACCTTTATAATAGCGATCTGTGATCCTTTTACCCTCTCAGCATTCACTGTTATCTCCCTTTCTAATATTTTTGGTCCGTTATCGTTAACATTGGTTACTGTTATGGTTATAGTTGTCCATGCCGACTACAAAAAATCGATTTTTGTATTTACTCAAAGAAAGTTATATATTTTTTTAAAATTGAAATTAAAACGGGGTATTTTATTTTATATTTTGAAAATTAAAATATAGGCATATATTTCATAAATAACGTTTTGGGACACAGCTATAACCTTAAAAATATTTGACTCTTTGACTGAAATGACTTACATAAAACTCATCGGCAGCCGTTAAATTGAAGATAAACTGACTTTTTTCTTCGTAATCAACTTTCTTTGTTAATATGATATCACCACTGAAAAGATACATGATTGAATTAGCAGTATACACTTGTACGCTTAACTAAATTACAATATTCTTATATAAACCTTTCTCTGTATTAAGATATATTTTAAATTTCCTTACTTATTGTTAACGGTGAAGTGTGTTGCCTCTATTCCAAGTGAGTAACGTAACGAGGTCCACTATAAGGTACAAAGAAAGAAAAAAGATATTGTCACACATAAGACAATTCGTTCCACATGTACATAATAAATGTAAATTGTTTAAATGTTATATACCTGATTGTGGTCTGTAACTGTAACAGTGATAACAGTTGTTCCTACAGCCTCGTTTTCAGATAAACTGGCATGATAACGAGGCTGGACAAAAGACGGTCCCAAAGTAGTGCCCTGGCCGATGATGGTAAGTTGTAGCAATGCAATTCCCTGTCTTATAGGATTATCTCTTTGTGTTGCCTAAAAGACAGGAAATTTAATATATACATATGCAAGTGTGTGAAGTTTCTGGTTTTCCGTTGTAGGTAATACATTCAAGCATGAAAAAGCTGTACAAAGTTAACGATGTTTATTTTGAGTAAGATGAGATTTATCGAGTTGACATAGAAATAAAAGTACCTTACTTATAGTTTTTAAAAAGTCGTTGATATATCAAAATATTGATAAATTTCTAAAGGCCTTATTGAAACTTTTCCTCTCAAGTAGAAATTATTCTAAAAATATGCCTCACAAGGATAAATTAACCGTTCGGCTAGCAATAAGGGAACACGGTGTTCATTGGAATTACAACAAATTGTTCGAAGACACGGTTTCCAAAGATTACGAAACGTATTCCAAAATTCAGAGTGTAGAATTAAATATATGTAGATAATGAACAGTATTCAAGTCCATTAAACAATACAAAATAGGAATAGAGTAAACACAGACCTCCGAAACGTCAGTTGCCATGGAGGAGTAAGCATCCCCTACCGACTGGTCACATAACGGAAAATTCGTCGTCAATTTAATGTGTAAATGGACTAGCAATGAGTATTAAAAACGTCAGCATTTGACTCAATGATAAATAAAATGTATTATCTGAAAGGGTTATTGTATCGACCATAGAACTTACGAAATGGTTACCTTAAGGTAGTCTGAGTAGATGAATTATTCAAAGTAAATTTGCTTGTATGTTTTATATATTTAGGTGTAAGAGACTTAAAAGACCATATTTTTCTTTCCTCATCATAACTGTACAACTTTAATTAGAATTGGTAAACTGTGTTTGAAAACTAACAGGGACTATACTTTTGGCATGATCGGAAAATTCTTCGTCTCTCAAAATTATTAATGTTTAGTAAATTTTTATGCAATCAAAGACTAGCAAATGTAAGTCAAATTAATAATAAGGGACTAAAGTTTCAAAATATATCAAATAAATTGATTTTTCACACATTAAAACTATGAAATGCTTAAATATAAGTATTTGTGTTATTTCTCTCTTAGAAACGAGTCAAAACTTTTAGCTTTTGTATCATTTTGTACCTTAATGTGACATCTTTACTTTATGTGAAAATGAGAGAAAGTTAAATATAGGAAGCATATAAAAATAACTAATATATCCTAAAAGAAAAGTAGAGGAAATTCGGATTAGCAAATATCCATTTTATCTAAATTATTTTGTGTCAGTTTGGCAATATCATCTTATAGGCACTATATCATAGTATCTTTTTATGCAAAATGAAAAACACTCAATCTTTTGAATAACAAGTAGGGATCGCATGATTGGAAACTGTAATTTTTTTTATTATGTCCAGGAAAAAGGTAATGACCTTGACCTGACCTTGCCTCTAATATAAAACGGTCAAATTTAATCTCACTTATACCATCACTTAGTGATATTGTCCTCTTGATTCTGTGAAAATTTCATTTATTTTTATATATAGGTGATAATTCACCTCATTTTAGAAATTGTACGTTCGTAGAGCATGCTCTTGCGTTTATAATCAACTGAGAGATATAAACTCCATATGTAGGTGATGAAAGTATATTGCTACATAAGTAAGGAAAAATTGGCGGTTGAAAAGTTAAAGTCATCATGTTTATCATAGGGCTTAGTTGTTAGATTACCATAAACGTCTTTTTCAAGTAAAACATCCAAATATGAAACAGATGTGTCAGACTCCGTGGTATCTTTTATCTCAAGCTTACCGGATATATCCTATGGATATCAGAATGGAAATAACCATTGTTAATTGATAATATGTCGTCGATATATCTAAATGTCGAGTTGGAGGCCACATCAGTTTTTTTTTTTTCATGATTTTGGACAAATTCTGCTTCATATAAATACAAGAATAGGTCTGCTAATAACAGAGCGTCAATCGGAAACTCAAGCATTTCAGCTTCAAAGTATTTGTGTGTACAATCAGAATGCTTTTTAACAAAATAATTTTGCCAATGACAAAGACAATCTGAGCATTTTAATTTCTGACTTTGTAGATAACGGATCACAAAAAAGAGAAAATTTACGAATTCGGTTTTTACCGAAAAAGCAATTTTTGTGATGTAAAAAGCCTGATTCAAACATGAAAAAGTTGTGAGTTATGGTTTCACTTTCTTACTTCTCAAATAAGTTTTTAGTTTTGTTGATTTTCGGCTAATACTTAGCTTGCTTTTTTATTTAGCATGCATATTAATTTGGTTTATTTTATACAATCATTTTCAGATTAGAAGTTTCAAAAGGAGGTTATATAATCAATTTCATTTCAATTAGAAGAAAAGAAAAAAATTAGGACCTTTAAAACTAGCGTTGACTTCCCATCTGATAGTTTAGCATTAACGCTTACATCAGCTGTCGTTGTGTCTATAACAAAACGGCTCTGTGGATCTGAAAATCAATTAATACTAACATATTATGTTGGAAAGGGTAAATTACATGGTATTATTAATCAGACAAATTTATTTGTAAATTGGATTCAAGTTCACATAACCTAGCTTTTCCGAACTCTCTGTCGTTTACTTACCAACAAGTTCATATTTTAAGGAAGCGTTCAGGCTGTCTCCATCGTAGGCTCGAATAGGAGGCAGTATTGGAACTAAGCTTCCCTGATAGAAACACAAAGATCAGGTATTCACACTTATCAAGTACATGTATGTAATGAAATAATTTATTTACGATTTTTAACGTTACTCTTTCTTTAAAAAGTCCTATAATGAGTTATTCAAGTTGTATTGACATGGTCCACTTATATATTATTAACAGAGAACTTTTAATTACAGGAAGAGTATCTGCATTCATTCTAACAGAATAGGTGTCATGTGTGAACTCCGGATTGAGGTCGTCCACGTCAGTAATATTAAAAGTGAGGAAGGCCTTAGAGCTGAGAGGTTCACCTTGTTGTGGATTGTCCTTTTGTAGAAAAAAAGAATATAAATGTACATGAAGATACAAGTACATATGAAGTTATGAACATCAGTAATCTATGAGTCTTGATGTCTGCTATGGGAAATTCATTTAAATTAGGCCTAAAATTTGTTTCTAAAAAAACTTTCGAAACTTTTGAAATCTGTCTGTTGGTTGCATATTTTTGACTACAGATGTTTTAACATATTTTCGAAGTACATAATCGTTGAATCTGTCGCATAACAAAACTTACACGAGTGAGTTTGGTATACTTTTGAATATTTATTCCCAAAAGATTTTTTTTAATTTTTCACTTTGTCCATGAGATGTGAGGTTTAAAACGAAGAAAAATTATGAACACACTTGCCTTCATGAATCATTAGGTCTTAAAAGCCCTTTGAATCTTTGAAAGTTTTTTAGTCAATCAGTTGACTGTTAATTTATTGCTAAATCATCTCAGATGTTTCTTACCTTTGCCTCTATTTCTATTGTCATGGAATGTACCGTCTCATAATCAAGCGGCTTTTTCAACGTGACCTCCGTTCTCAAGATGTGTATATCAAAATAGTCCTGGAAGATAAAATAGCGCAATTTTAACAATTTAAAATCTCATCTCCAACATTTTAGTTAAGTTTGTAAAAAAGGAAGATTAAAAGAATATATACTTCTAGAAGCTTTACCGAATATGAACCGGGTAGTATGCTGAAATGGATGAGATCATTTCCCGAGCCCGATCCATCCCTGTCAGTCACTGTAACCTGATGAAACACAACAGTCTCCACTGGAGTGTCCTAGGTAAGGGAGAAAAGGAAACAATTCAAAGTAATTGTATGTCATTGACAGAACTTTATTATTTCTGTATATTAAGATATCTAATTTTTATTTCTGTATACATGTGTCCTAAGATATTTGTTAATTCTTTACCTCTGGTAAGTTTATAATGTAGTGATTCTTGGGAAATGTTGGTCTGTGTTCATTGATGTCTTCTAGAAGAACTCGAACTGTAAGTGAACTCTGAAAAGAAATTGTATGTTATCTAATTGAGGAAATTCTACATATAAGCATATATATACACTGATGCCTTTAAAATCTTGCAGAGCTTTTCCTTCAGCTAGTCATTCCATATATGATGTTTTGTACTTTCTATCACAGAAACATTTTGCACTTGACTAAAATTTGTTAACTGAAATGTTTTAACTCAAAATTTGAAACAATGTACGTCTTGTGTTATACGTATTAACATTTATCTTATAGAATTAAAATAATACAAGAAAAAGGTGTGTGATTAAAGTACATAATAATGCAATTTTACAGTTCATTGTAACAGAATCTGTGCCTGATAATGTACTTTAATAGTCACATACATTGTATTCACTTCCTTACAATTTTGATACCAATTAAATTTACACCATAAGACAGTTAAACATATTACGCCTATAAACATCAAGATAAAAAGGGTGAGTTTTTTTTTTACCCTTTTCTTGACCAAACATGTCAAGATTTGGTATATATACATATTATACATATTACAATTCATTTTTAAGGATCTCTGTGTTGTCAACATGCTATAGTAATTATATTTTTTCCCTACTTTTTCAACTAACATCTAGTACATATATATGAATATAAGGACCCCAATGGAAATACATGTAAGCCATTGGCTCTCATGGGTTATCCATCTTAAAAAAATATCTTCAAGGAAAATTAATTTTAGAATGCTCAGCTTTTAACCTTACCTTTCTCGTTGTACCTTTCGGTACACAGATGACTTGTAGGATAAGATCAGACATCAATTTGTTGCCATTATCGTCTTTGTCCGTGTCCAGCTCCTTTATGAGAGATATGTTTCGGGAATCTACGTCAAGATGGAGGTAGGGATTGGAGGTCTGAGTCAGACTGACGTCGTCTGGACCCCCGGTTAACGGCAAAACTCCTATAACGGACCCTGAAAATGATAGCAACATTGTGCATTTTTGCATACTTTACACAGAATATGTTGAGAAAACTCGCCGTTTTCCCCCTCTTTTTTCTCCTATTACCAAAATTGTCAAAAAACTTAGAATCACCAAAACTTTGGCAAAACAGGTAACTGCATGTACATGTAATAATATATATACCAACTACTATTATTTTAGTCGGAGAACAATAAAATTAAGAGACAATACTTCTTAAACAACTACTGAGGTTTAATTTTCAGCAGTAAAATACTTATAAACATATAACACATTCTTGGATTAATCTAAATCATTCTATATACAGGATAAATGCCCTCTCCTTCCTCTAAAGTTATTTTTAAATAAAATGTTTAGTATGAGATTTGTACATCACAATAAACTCACCCACTGTTTGGTTTTCTGGTATTCCTTTAATGAAAAAGTCGTATTGAAATTGTCCAGAAAAAGTACATGGATCTACAAAGTACAAATATTAATAAAACCAAAACTTAGTTCTGAAAATATACAAACTATGACAAAAGTTGTCAAACAATCTTAATTATATTAAAAACTTGAGCAAAGTATAAAACAATTTTTTTTAATTCATAAAGTGCAAAATTACATGGAACTTTTACATGCCTTCTTTAAAAACGTTTTTGTTCTATAAATGACTTTGATAAGAAAACGATCAAATGAAACGATTTCCTTTGTCCTGTCTGTCATATTTCTTCAAATAGAATCTGCAGCATGACTATTGACTATTTGCAGATTTGATTTTACAACATTTTTCAGAGAAGACTCATCCACCATTTTTTGGTTAATAATCTATTTTATCTTTTAATTGGAACGTTTGATGACTTCTGATTTTTGAATGATTCATCAATGAAAACCTGCATTTATTTTTTCTTTAATGCCACTTCATCAAACTTGATACCAATTATCCGTCAACATCATCTCCGTAATATTTTATACCTTTGCCGATTAAGTAATTAATTATATTAGCATTTGTGATAATGTTTTGTGGAACTTTGATGGTGCAATTTAATTGTTATCTTTATGATGGAAAATCTTCACCTGTAAATTTTATTGCATTGGATTCTGATATTTTCATTTTCATTTGTAACTGTGAATACAAATAAATTGGTTTCATTCTGGGAGCGGTTCCCTAGCTATAGATTTTTGACTGGTTAGCAAGTCTAGAGAAAACCTAATGATAAGATCTCAAAGGCCATATAAACTAATAGAAACAATTTTACGATTGATTTTGGTCCGAATGAATAGATGACCAGACGATCTCTTTCAGAGCGGCAGACGATCGACCTAATGAAGACGAATGTGACGTTATGGACGTCAGAAGGGCGCGCTTAATCTCGCGTGATGAAGCCCTAACAAGTCCAAACCATACCTCCCTGTGTATCGTAATCAATAAGAAAAAGAATCTCTTGATGGATGACAACTAATTTGCGTAAAGTCCAGATTTGTCCTAAGTGTAGAATTGACTTGATAAATAAATGATTTTGACGATCGATTTCCTGTCTTTGATTTTTGCCATGTGTGTCGAAGTTTATAAAAATGCTGATAAATCTTCAGAGGGTACGGAAGCCCATTTAGGACCTATCAAAAAATATTTTTGAATTCGTTATAACAATTTTTAGAATTCGTTATAACGAATTTAATTTGTTATAACAGATTTATTGAATTCATTATAACGAATTTAATTTGTTATAACAGATTCATTGAATTCGTTTTAACGCATTTAATTTGTTATAACAGATTCATTGAATTCGTTATAACGAAATTAATTTGTTATTACAGATTTATTGAATTCGTTATAACGAATTTAATGACAGATTTATTGAATTCATTATAACGAATTTAATCTGTTATTACAGATTTGTTGAATTCGTTACAACGAATTTAATTTGTTATAACAGATTCATTGAATTCGTTATAACGAAATTAATTTGTTATTACAGATTTATTGAATTCGTTATAACGAATTTAATTTGTTATGACAGATTTATTGAATTCATTATAACGAATTTAATCTGTTATTACAGATTTGTTGAATTCGTTACAACGAATTTAATTTGTTATTACAGATTTGTTGAATTCGTTATAACTAAATTCTTGAATTGGTTATAACGAATTCAACAAATCTGTAATAACAAATTAAATTCGTTATAACGAATTCAATGAAACTGTTATAACAAATTAAATTCGTTATATAACGAATTATAAAAATCTGTTATAACAAATTAAATTCGTTATAAAGAATTCTAAAAATCGTTATAACGAATTCAAAAAAATTTTTTGATAGGTCCTAAATGGGCTTCCGTAAGAGGGTGTCTATACCGCTCATTAATTTTTTTTTTTTTGCCTCAAATCGTTAAAAAACTTACAAACAGAAAGCACATTTTATGTATTAAAAGCATATTATTGAGATTGCCTACACATCAAGAAAAATCAGATAAGAGTACATGCGTTTCTATCAACCAAATTAGTTGTTTAGTAACTCCATGTTTCTTTACAGACGTACATGTACTCTTAAAAATATCATAAACCGACGAAGAGCCTCCATTTGTTGTTGATGGCCTTTTACGATTCGATAACTTTATGTTTCTTTAAAGGAGCACTATTAAACATTTCACACAATTTAGTAAAGTCATAGCTTAATAATTAGAAGAAAAAAAACATTCAGGACTCACCAACTATAGCAAAAACAAACTTGATTCGAACCAACAAACACAGCAGTAACTTTTCGGCATTCTTCATATTTATTCTTCACATGGAAAGTTCAATTCTGAAACAAAATAACAAAATCTTTTTATTATTAGAGAAACATTTGCGACGATTTCAAATTCATATTCTAAATCACACTGTTGCCATAATTATTTCCTCTTGTTGAAAGTCAGTTTTTGTACATAAACGATGTTCGCAATTATCATAATTTTAGATGCAATCTTCCTTAAGCAAAATTTATAATTTTTTAGGTTCATTGTCCCCAAAACTTCAAAATTCAAGAAAACAGAACCACGATTGTAAACAAGATATTATAGCTATCTTTACATCTTAATAGCATTAGAATCTTGCATTTGACGTCGTGTGAACAGAGAACAGTCAGATATAATGCCCTTACAGGGTCGCAGCCAGTTTACAATCAATGGAAATTTGTTTAAAATCCGACGTGGAATTTTTCATATAATGGCGGTGTGTAGCGTGTTTGGGGACTCTTAATTGATAATGGCCTTGGTTTACTTCTTCTTACTTACACATTTACAAAGAAACATTTTAAATCTAATATCTTCATTATGATCATCACAAAAATGCAATAGCCGCAAGAGAATGGAAAGTAAAAACACAATACAGCAAGAGGGCATTCTTTTTTGTCCAAAAAAAACTTACCAAAGTGAAAGCTTAAGCATTTTTCTTTTCAAATATTGCTTGTTCTTAATGTAATATGAGGATATCAAACAGTAGCCAAGCTCAGTAGGGTAGGATCAGGTGCCATAAAGAAGTAAGGATCACCCTTCGACCCTTCACACCAACCGTATGATCTTTGTCATTATCGGACAGGATCCGTAGACAATTCAGTGTAAAATTAAGGCCTAGCATTCGTATCAAAAACTTGATTCAACATTTGACTTAATGATAGATTGTATTTACTAACAAGATCACTGTATCGACCACAGCATTTGACAAATGTTGACGTTTAACTGGACTGTTGATATCCTGATATCTTCAGCTTATTTGTCAAGAACTTGCCTCGTTTTAGAAATTGTTTGTATAAAGTTACATTGTATCGAATTTACTTGGAGACATAACTCCATAATTCTGCAGGTATTAGTGGAAATAATGCCTCATATAATTATTAGGGAAATTGACGATAGAAAGATGAGTGTCATCACGTTTATGCTGTGTCGTAAGTTTTGCATTTATATGTTTTTATAGTAAAATATGCAAATATGAAACAGATTTGTCCGACTCTGTAGTGTCTTTTATTTCGAAATGAAAGGGATGTATCGAATTAAAGTTGGCAGGAAAAGGAACATTGTGAGTTAATAGAACATCGCCGATATTATCTAAATGTCTAATAAGGGTCATGACAAGAAACATACTTTTTCCATTAAAAGATTTTGAATAAATTCTGAATCTTTATACAAAAGTAGGTCTGCTAAAACAGAGCACAACCAAAACCCATGGAAATTCCAGCAGACTGTTGGGAAAAAAATTCTACATGCAAGCAGAAACACAAATATATTTTGTAATATCAGCTTTGGAGTACATGTGTGAAAAAAGATCATATTCAGCAGATGTAAATATGTTTAAGTAACCTCATTATTCACTCCTCTAGTGAAACTATTTTTGTTCTGAAGTGGGTGTATGCATTACATATTATAACAGCCTTGTAAAAGTTTGATATCATTCTCTGACTCCTCCCTGGAAATCATGATTTGTACAAACATGACTAAACAGTATGTACTGGCATGATGAAGATTTCACATATTTCCTTTTTTCTGACCTAGTGGTTCTTGAAAACATTCTCAAAAGATGCCATCAAATTTTAACTTATTCTTAATAAGCTTCCATGGAAAGAGAGCACAATATTTTTAACAAGAAGCTCGAGGTTTCTTTACCCAATGTGCTTTAAGTCAAGTTTGGAAAAAAATGGCCCACTGATCAAAAATATGAAAAGTTGTTAGTCGGAAAGTCAGACGGACTTTGGACAAATGTGATGAGAAAAGCTCATTCACTGAGCTTTTAGCACAGGTAAGTAACAAATTAAATATAAAAATTAACAGTCAAGCTATTCATTCAATACTATCATGGAAAAAGAAAAAAAAATTAGTTTATTTGTTGCAATGAAGCGCCCTCTGAGGAATTTTTCCTCTAATATGAATCCATGTTGATGAAAAAATAATTATGGTCCTGCAGCCGATCTAAATTTAGATAATTGGAAGTCCCTTTGGCACAGTCCAATTGAAAATGGCATCAATCATGCATCTCACAACTTTCATAAAATATCACAGTAGAAAATTAGAGAATGCGAGGAGGTATTGATCTTCATATTGATGATAACTTTAAAGATTAAAGGCCCTTGTTTCGTGATCGACAATATTTTTAATTCGTTTGGACATTTCATGTCCCACTATGATTTATTTTCCTAATAATTATTTTTTGGCAATAAAGTATTGGACAAAGCCAGAGTAAAAAAGATGCCAAGATATGGCGTTAAACATTTGCATGTGAGTTATTGCCAGACAACACCATTGTGATCAATATGTTCATTTTTTGTGACAACATAATCGGTCATAAGCTTAATTTCTGCTTGTCTTTTGCTCTGCGCTGTTGTATTTGAAATTAAATGTTGAACTCCATTTCATTAGAACAAATTAGCTACCCAGAGTCTTTACAAGAATAGCAAGACAAGGAAAACCTAAAATTGCTCTTGGTAAAAAAAAGTGCAAAATGCATGAACCTAGTGCAGCAAATACAGTAAATTAGCCATTTAAAGAAACATGACTTGCAGTTATTGCTTTGCAATCTTAAAAGAATACCTCTTTGATATTCATGTTTTGAAAATAAAAATGTCGAAGAAATAAGGTTAGGTAAACAAACCTTTAAGGGTTTTTATCATCTCATCATCTAAGAGGAAGAAACTGGAATCAACCATCGCTGCAAATATTTTTGAAAAACCTTCAGGGAAATTGCTATCCTAATTTGAAAAAGTTTCCTATGAAAATACCGAAGAAAATTACAGGGTATATACGAAATTCTTTTATTCAATTCCAAACGAATTTTTATAATCGTTGCTGAATTCAATCAAAAACGCTTTACGTAAGCGGGTAATATAAACCGAATGTTCCCTAGTTGGATACGGTGTCACAATGCCCTGATGCTTTGAAAGTAGGACGATTTTTAATGTTAAATGATTTTCTTTAATGCCTGGTTCGGCTTTGTGAGATAAGTTAAAATCAGTCATTAGCGTAAATATAAACCGAATTTCAGTGTAATTCATACCCATGTCAAGTATTGTGTTTTCTTTAGATAAAACTTAATTTTTAAAAAAATATGGGCTGGAGCTTATTAAAGTAACAAATTTAAATAACACAAAGACACTCTGATTCAACAAAATTTCATTTATAAATCTTCTGAAAAGAAATTTAAAAGAAAAACAATTCTCGTAAAAGATTAAAATTAAAACTTTAGTCTGTACATGTATAGTAGAGTTCATATTTAAAAATATGAAATGTAGAAAGGTTATTCACTACAGTATCATTTCTATAAATAAATTTTTAAAAAAAAATACTCTCGCAGTAATCCGAACGCTACAAAGATACGTCACCCTAAATCTTAAATTTCCTAACCTACTTTCATCTAAGAAGTAAACAGAAGCGATGCCTTATTGGGAATAAAATATGCCCTTTCTTCTAAGGGACGAATTCCGTAGCAAAAAATCCTTTAAAAAGTACATTATATTTACTTGTCAATGTGCATTGATGAAAATCGACAACTTAATACTTCTCTATCAATCTCAATATTATTATGGCGTAAAATAAATTGAAAATTTACATTTAGTACTCTGGTATAATTTATCTAAAATTTCCCATGGCCATTTATTACAAGACTTAAAATCAATGTTAGAATACCATGCCACAATTCGTTTCAATAGATCTGTTGTTTACTATCGTAGCGAGGATAATCCCGCCATTATAAGTATAAGTATATTGTGTGTTTATGGTACTTTAAATCCGATTAAGCTCCTAAAATTGGTATCATAAAATGTGGATGATGGATCCTACAAAACCTACGTTTCTAATGTATGTCTTTGAAAGTAGTTTCCTTTAGCATGAAACATAAGTTGGGTTTAGTAAAGATGGTATGGTATAAGGGGCGGTCTTTAGATGTGACTATATATGTGGAACAAGAATACCAGAGAAACGTTGCGATAGGAGTGTTTATTGTTTAATAACACTTTATATAATTAAGATAAGATACAGCAAGGATGAGAATCGATATCACCATTGTCCACAGTTCTGGTCATTAGTCAAGCCATCTGGCCACGTCATATTTCCTTTGTGGTCAGTTATCAGGCCTTCATAAACTTCTCTTGGAGACACGTGACAGTGTACGACTTTCATTGGGAAATGAATGCCAAGCACATCAAACTTTTCAAATCTCTGTCTTTGCAGCTGTTCTAGTTCATATACAGCTATGTTCTCTTAATGGTTACCTCCAAGAACATTTCAAAGGTGCGTTGGGCAAATGAATGACAGTTATAAACCATAAACAGATTTATTTGAGAAAAGCCGAGAGAGAAAAGTTTGAATGTTAAGAAACCGTTATTGTCAATTAAGAGTTGTCAATTGATAGTGGGAATTGCTAAGAAACCTTCTAAGTCTCACGTCACAATCACGTGATGAACCTTTCTTCCAGCTTCTTTATACAGGAAACCCAGAGAAAATAATTACCAACATCTTATACTCTTATAGAGAAAAGGGGGATATACTCTGATGCATGTAGTCTTCTGAAAATTTCAAACCCATCATCTCTTTTATTAAAATTCCAGATAAATGAGCTTAACTGAAAAGCCTGGTCATTGTGAAATCGATCAAGAACCACTTACAAATCCAATCACTTTACATTAAGATCCCGACACGCTAAACAATACCGGCGGAAATAGACAAGCGGAACCCCTACCGTTGTTAAGGTGAATTAAACGCGATTTGATCCTCCAATAGCAACTACAAAGAGTTTTTTTTTTCTTTATTGGTGTTAACATCCAAACCGGACTATTTACTTAGCCATCATTAAATGAACTACAATTATACTTAGAGAAAAAATATAACTGATAATGTTCTTAACCAATGACCAAGTCATGTGGAAAACAGATAAGCGAAATAACAATTTTATGCCGCCGTAATCGAAGATTTGAGGGTTCAGTGAATATAGTTTTTTGCCCTGCCTGTCTGTCTCTCTGTTTGTCCGCAAAAACTTTAACCTTGCTCATAACTTTTGAGTGGATGGGGCTATAGCTTTTGCATTGCACAGGTACATGTATATTCCTTTTAAAAAGACCTTTCTTTGGGTTTAACCAGATTTTACCTCTTGGCCTTAACGTAGCTACAGGAGTCAATCCAAAAATTTTCTAACGTTAACCTTAGCATAACTTTTGAAAAGCTGGGGCTAGAGCTTTCCTACTTCACGAATGCATTCAATTTGACAAGACCTTCCAATGGGTATAAACATTTTCGACCTCTTGACCTTGACCTTAGAGTTTTACCTTCTTTTAAAAAATTTAACCTTGACTTTACTTTTGAAGGGTTAGCACGAGGGCTTTCATGTTTCACAGGTGGATTCTATATGACAAGACCTTCCTTTGGATGCCAACAATTTTGACCTTGACCTTTAGAGTTTTACTTGCATATCATAGAAACTTCAACCATTGCAATTAAAAGTTGCTACAAAACGGGGGCATCGATGTTTCACAAAAACATCTTGTTTATAAAATCGTCTTGAAATCATCCGTTTTATTTAGATACCGGTATATATTATCTAACAATGTTTGAAAAATTCCTTAAGTGAAATAACTCTTGATCAAGATTGTCGAGAATAGGACTCTTGATCAAGATTGTCCCCGAATCATTTAATCTATTAATTTCAAGTTACCATGGCTACGTAATCATTGAACGGATAGTGTCCCCAAGAAAGATATCTGCTGCAAACACCGCATTGGATTGGATTCTAATTGTCTGAAATGGACGTACAAGTCAGAGTAAGAACTGTGCAATAGGAAGATTCCAAGAGATTGACAATGTAGCAGTGCACATAAGAATGTGATTCATTCAAATATTTGAAAAACTGTACACCAAGAAAAACAAACCAGACAAACCTACATGTAAAGAATTTTACCGTTTCTCTGAGCCTATAGCTCTAATATCAAAGAGGACTTGATTTTAATAGGTATAGTCTTTCCAGGGAAAAAAAACTAGCATCTTTAATATTTCACAATAATAATACAAAAATACAAACAAAAAACCCACTAAAATTAGTAATTGCAAGATTTTAGAAAGATTTGATAATTTATTATATTAGTTTAAAGATTAATGAGCCAGTAAAAAATTGTAAAAATGTTTAAAAATTAGAGAAAAACTTTATTTTCAATGGAAAATTCAGGACAAATAATGGGGAATCAAAAAAAATGTTCTAATGTCTGGGGTATATGTCTTAATTACGGTGCATGAAAACTAAGCGACAAGTTTTAGAAACAGAGCGCTGTGCTTCACAATGTACGATGAATTGCCAAGATAGGATCGTAATTTTTTCCCCTAAGCTAATACCAATGATTCAATAAAGCAAGATACCGAGCAATTTCTCTCAATCCTGATTGATTATTCATTAATTTGGTGTCCCTATTCGACCTCTCCAAATTCATTGGTATTGCAATGTTTTTAATGAACGAATAACTTATACAAAACAGGGATCCCAGCAAGTGATCACTGTGACTTGAATGAGATATAGTTCTCCTAAACAGAGTAATTAAAGATATTTCAACGTAAATAACAAAGGAATCCTCTGGGATGCTGGCTTACTGTGTGTAGAAGTGAAAGCCGAGAGCCAGTCAGCAAACGAAGAACACTAGCAGCTAATGCGCTAGAAACAGGATTTCAAATAAATAGTCGTTTCTATGCATACCCTCAGTTCTTATTGCCATTCAATTTATATTCGATTTATTCATTTCTGCAGAGATCTTGTTCAGAAGCACTACCTGATACCTTGTCGTTTCAAATGCTTGCTCAAATACCTGTATTGTATCGTCATTATTTGCAATATGCAACAAAATTATTGTAAGAATACAATGCAACAGATAATAGCATAAAACAAGTATAACAGAACGACTACAAAGCGCTGATTCTTAAGAATTGTAAAAGAAACTGTAACCGAACAGACAACTTGTTAATTTTGACAGAGCTTTAAGAATCAATTATTACTGGCTTGACATTAACCCATTAGGGATGGCATGTCATCCTCGCTCCATCATATCTTACAGAACTGTCTCTTCTCCTGTATCAGGAACCGGGCATTTACAGGAAAACAAAGAGAAACATGGAAATACCATGAATACTCCTAACCTTTTCTGTATTCTCAGTACTCGGCAGTTTATAAGGGGAGTATGTTACGTATTATTGTCTCTCGTACTAGTAAATGTCATTTATCAATTTTTGAATTTTAAGAAATTCAATTTTATATTTGCTTAAAATTCAATAATTAGTGAACGATATCTGTTTTACAGAAAAAACAAGAAAAAGTTAAACTTGTCTGCACTTCTAGCTTTTCCTGTAAATTAGAATTTGATATGGTCCCTATCATGTCCTTGATAATAATACATGAATTTAATATACATGTTATTCGCATCCTGATATACAGGTATACGTGTTCCTGGTATAATCTTAAACATTCTATATGATTATATTCATGTTCCTGATATATTTTTATTAAAACACAAATGAATGTATCAAATATTAGGAATATGTACATATATACATTAATTTTATCACATTCTGCTAGAATTTAATATACTTGTTATTATTGTAATTTGTATACAAAGAGTATGCTCTTGATATTTGATACACTCGATTGTTTAAACTTACAAAATATCTATATTCATCTCGAGGTAGTGATATTGAAACTGAATGATAGATCGACATAACACGCAATGTAAACAAACTCCACACCAACTGTAAACTAATGCTTTTCTTACATATACTTATATAAAGTAGAAACTGAATACACATTCAGGATTCAAGATCCATTTATTCTGGTTTGATAGTTTATATGTCTTTTGGTGAGGGTTATCTGATTTAGTGTTCTGTTGCAATTTCTACACCAATTTGTGCTTGTCGCCTTTTTGACAAACACCTGGGGACGATTTACTATACCTTCCATTACTGATATAATCCGAAACCACTCAAAGCACTCAAAGTGGTCATTTATATTATCTAAATTATTTCTAAAATTTTGTGAAAGATTCAATCTTTGATTTGTCTTTGTACAAATGCAAGTGTGGATCTGCATACCGGTATTGAAAAATCTGTCATTTCTTTTTAAATATTGTTATTACTGAGATATTTATTATGATTTTTTCTGTCAATAATTTGATTTTTAATTTGCTTTATATTCCAAAGGAAAACAATTTAAACGACTAGATTAAATATCTAGTGTAAGAATTCGGAAAAAAACGTTGTAGCGTGAATGTTTTAAACTCCAAAACATTGCATTTCATATCAGCGGACAATGTAAATGTCATTTTATCAATAGAAAAAGACATAATGCAAATCAATCACAGCATTAAAATTCACAAGATACGTTTCATTTAACAAATCGGCTTTCAAATTGGCTTCATTCTACCAAGGTTCTAATACAATTTCAAAGCTGGGCGATGATTCTCTTTCAAGAAATGGTCGTTCTTTCGCTGGATGAAGATGTGTACTTGCATTTCTCTACAGAGTACACTGCACGACATGAAACAGAAATCGTCAAACTATTCATCACCCTCTTAAAAAGTCCTCTTAGATAAATGATATTGTACCCATAAGCTTGTGTCTTTAAGAAACGAGGCAATGTTGCAGGAATCTCTTGTATAATTGTTAATTAAATTGTTTACACATAAGTTCTAAAGAAGAGATTTATCTATCTTCTATATCAATTTACAATCTCAGGAATGTGTCAAATTGTGCCTTCAGGTGTTTTTTCCTTCTCTTTCCAATTTCTTATTTGTCAAAATCAAAATTGATCTCATGCATAATTAAACACTCGTACCTTCGAAGTTGTGAAAGACGAGCCTGCACAAAGTTTACTTTATATCTTATGCAATCGGCAGGGTGTTTAAACTATAATTTTCCTATGAATCTGTTATGGACCACAGAAGAACCGTGGGAATACAATTGTAGACCGGTTTATGCATTAACAAAAAAGATTGAGAATAATAACTTGTGTCCCAGAAACCCGTAAATTTAGGATAATTATATCTGCGGTTTAATGCCATACAAAGTCTTTGAAATCTAGCTACACTGTAGAGCCACTGTTTTAATTGTACATGTTCGTAAATGTATTCATTCCCTCCAAATGCTATGAATAATACTGGATATTTGTATATAACACTAAAAATTCGTACATCTGTTAAAATTTTTAATATAATAATACTTACATATAATAATATATCCGTTCACGTCTCTGAATAAAACAGCTAGTTTAATATGCAGCTCTCCAAATCAGACATTTTTTATTGTTCCTGATCAGCTGGGTGCTTAAGTGTACTAAGGACATAATTCCTTGTTAAGTCATCTTGCCCAATAAGTTTCTCTGACCGTTGTATCGAAAACCTGTAAAAGTAGAAATAGATCACGCTGTGTCGCCTTCTATGGTAGATTATTCGATCTATGTCAATGTCAGATTAACACAGAGTCGAGTGACAACATCGGTACTGTCAACGAGGGGTGGGAATTTAACTAAAAAATACAAAGAATTTATAGTGGGGTATATGAAAATTACAATAACCTCAAGTAACGTAACAAAATGTAAGTAAAGCTTTACAAATAAAAAGAGGGGTTTTTATCAAATATGAAAGAATCATAATTAAGTTTCTCGAAATGATATTCAAAGTTCACAAGTTACTTTGCTTACCCATGTGTGTCGTTAGTTAATTTTCTCCGAGGATGGATAGCACTTTATTAAAATTTTAAAAACTCCAAATGATTGAATGCAAATAACACACGCTTTTTCAATAAAGGAAGAGCATTTCACTCAGTAAACACTCGAAAACTTGTAAACAAACAATCAACAGCGAAATAAGCAAAACATTGATGGGGTTTTTATTGAAAGAGAAAACTAAAGTCCGTTGCAATGACAAGCGCTAGCAGACGACTTCTGAACGATAAATTTACAGCCAATCAGAGGACAGGAGATTCCCACAATGAAAACAGCAAAGAAAAGGTAAAGTGGGGAAAAATTACTGAACCGTGAAATTGTGGACAGGGATAATTGAAACTGAAGAAGACAGGTACAATAAATATGTACGTCGTTATAAGGAGTAGTTTGTTGTCTATTAAATGGATGCTCGAATCGGACGGGAAAGCTGGGTGGTTTGTCCTTAAGAAACGTTAAAAGGCTGTTTTTCTTATTTGTAAAGTTCGTAAAATACACGTTAAGATCTGATAAGTTATATTCATCTCTACATTTTGGGACAGGTAAATATAATTATACCTAAGTGTTAAAAACTAAAATTACTGCTATTTTCTCACCTTAAAAGCAAGTCCAAATTTTGTTTGCTCACTGGATAAAAAATAAAAATTTTAAATTCATTCTAAAAAATATAAAGTTTTATGTTCAGTTCTAAAAAATTAAAATTTCCAAACTGCAGTATATGTGTTCCTGTATTGAGCACATACATGTACATGTATACCCGTATAAAAGCAAATGAGATCAATCATTAAATAAATAAGTCGGTCTCTTTGACAATCAACTTTGGTCAATATGACAAAGGATTGATCAAATATTGACAACCCTTAGCCATAAATCTTCTATTTTCTTGAATTTAATCAGACTCGAAATATTTTGACCATGTCTCATATGACAATTATATTCTGATACTATGTTCAGCTTAAATTACTTTTTACATACTGTTTTTCATTTCTCAAATCTATTAATAAATAACGGTAACAATTTAACATCCGCACCAAAAAATTGATGACTTTTAAATGAACCCAAAGTTCAACCAATGGGTAAATCTCCAAAATCGACACTCATTACGTTAATAATTTACGTCAGAAAAGGAAAAACGCTACTGATCTGGAGAGACAATACTTAACAATGCAATGAATACTGAAAAAAAAACTGAACAGGGAAAACTCTTGTTATGATCCTTGTGTAACATTCCCATGGCCTTTTCACAACTTCGTGTTAAATTAGTACCAGTGACTTTGCTAAAAATGGCTGATAGATCTATATCCAGGTCATAAGGGTACATCTCAGAACCATCAAAACATGCCACGGCTTCCACTTAATGACGACTTGTCAGGTTACTATATTTGTGACCTTTAAGAAATTGATCTAGAGAAAGATGCTGGGCTGTCCATCCCATGAAAGGAAGGGAGCCTTTATTGTGAGAAAGCATATTATATCCAGTTGTACGTAATTACACGTCCATCTCACCCCTCCCTTAAACATCAATCACTGTCCAAGTTGGGTGGACGGGTACTTGTAGATGAAGCGGCCTTGGGGAGGATTTCCCAAAACCACGGGAGATGTGACTTCTCCATTTCAGTGTATAAAGGGCTCGTGTAATCAGACCTTTATATGGTTAATAACTCCTGGCCATTTACTTTGTTGTTAAAGAAAACTTTTAATGAAAGGTGAAATTTGAAATTGTATTTAAGTTAATGGATTTTTACTTTAAGATTTTGACTGACAAGAGCGCATTCCACGATTGTCCCATTTACGGACTAAAAAAAATGTTTTGATGCTTTGGGGTTGGGGAGGAGTGGGTGGGATGGATTAGGGTCTCCACATATAGATTGTACTTAAAATATGGGACTCTACATGTGTGCATATGCATATTTTTAAAGAATCTTGTTAAAAAGTAAGCTATGAAATAAATTACAGATAAAATATATTTTAGTTTGATTTTGAGAAGTGCTGATACAGATAAATGAACTGCAGCTTCCCACTCACATAAAAGGTAAACACCGTCTTAATTTCGAATTTTGTGGAATATTAAAAAGTGATATGCTTATGACCACATGGTACATATTTTAAGATGTTTCTACCTGTGCCGCCTCTGTAAGCGTCATAAACACAGATTTATTAGAACACTACAAATTCCTGTACATTCTGTTAAGTCATGACCAAAGATCAACGCTCGCTAAGGATTAACCACTCTATGAGTTAATGACGTGCAACTCTATCCTAAAGAATACATAGAATGTAATTTTTATAAAATAATAAGCATAGACCCTAAAATGAAAAGAAGAAAGTTTAGAAATCTTGTAAACAGATCAGCTACACTTGAAAAAAGCTTCTGTGTATTTTTCTTGTTAGTTGAAATGAGATATGTATGGAATGCCATATACGACAGCTAACTGCCAACTGTCAGCTGCTTACTGCCAACTGCCACACATATTTGAATAAATTTTCATATTTATTTTGATATATTCATGTGTATTTTCAAAAAACAGACGCGGATCCAGGATTTTTTTTCCAAGAGGGACACCCGGGTAGAAAAAAAAAACCAACCAAAGAAATTTGTTGACAAGAAAAAAAAGTAAACTCAGTTAAATTTCTAAATGTGAAAAATTATTTTGGCGGGGGGGGGGGGGGGTGTCTCATGCTTTAAGTCTATGAGATTTTTCAATTAAACACGGATCCACGTTTTAGGGGGGGGTCCCTTTTAATTCATGCATTATATAAATTTCGGTTGGTATAGTTTGTACATTAAATACCTTTTTCAAATTTCAAAGGGATGGTCCGGACCCCCCCCCCCCCCTCTGTGCATATAAAACAAAACTTAATTTGTAAAAAACAAAGAGATATAAATCTTTGAGAAAAATGTTCAAAGGTTAAAAATTAACGGGAAATTGAAATTTATTTTTAAAATAACTCCCCTGTGAATCAACAACAAATCCTTTTTTTTCAGTTTTTATCCTTTCCAAAGATTTTGTTGTCTGATGTAGGGAGGGATTAAAAACAGGAAAATAGTCATTTTATAAGATAAGAAATAATAAATAATACACTTTATCAATCTCATATGTTGAATTTTACATTAATAAAAACATACGATGAGATTAAGGAGTCATTTATCCATTTTCATTAGTATTTGAAGATGAGATGATATATGTTCAGTCTGATTTCAATTGATAAAATCTACCCCTTATTAAAGGTGTTATACATAAGAGCAACTAACTTTTTGTCAGTGGTTTTTAGAATAAGTACTTAAAACTGACCTTGGAACACCCCCCCCCCCCCCCCCCCGAAAACGCGGATCTGTATTAAGTTAATTTGTATGAAAAGTCATAGATGTGAAGATATGTAGCATAACCCACCCACACCGCCAAAATAATTTTTCACGTTTACGAAAGGAGTTTACGTTATTTTTCTTGTCAAGAAATTTATGCGTTCGATTTATTTTTACTGGGGTGGATAATCCTGGATCCATGTTTTTTGATTTTGATTTTTTTTTTTGACAATTCACATAAATATCAAAGAAAATATAAAAAATTATTCAAATATGTGTGGCAGTTGGCAGTAAGCAGCCGACAGTTGGCAGTAGGCAGTAAGCAGTTGGCTGTCGTATATGGCATTCCATAGATATGAAAACACGCCAATTCAGGCTCTATAACAATACGTGTACCAGAATATAATAGGAGGTCAAGAGTTGGCTTAATAGAAAGTAGTTGTGAGCAGACATAAACAACTGAGATTTCACTTTTTAAAAAAAAGTTTTAAAATACCTACAAGCTAATCAAAAGAATGTGGGTTCCTGCTCAAGAAAAAAAAGAGCATGCGCGGATTTAGAGGGGAGGGTTGACCGAGGGGGTACTTTAGGGGGAAGCCAGGGGCATAGGGGGTTATGGAATATATTTAAAATTTCATATAGCAAGAGGTCAAAGGCTTCTTGAGATATCCAAAGTGAGATAGAAAAAAAGATACACCGACTGATGGACGGACGGACAATTCGAAATTAAAATCCCCCACTTTGAAGTTTCATTGAAAGCGTGGGACAAAAAATGCAATGTGAAAAAAAAGAATAGTAATCAATTTCAAAAGTAATTGTAAAAGTACAAAGGGGAGCAAGCAGAGCAAACGACGATCCTCTAAAACATCAGAGGTGGGATCAGGTGTCATAGAGGAGTAATTCATCCGCTGTGAGCTCTTCGTCAAAAATAACAAAGGGGAAAATTCGTAGCAAGTGCAGTGTCTATAAAATGGTCACATACTTTGCATGAAGAATTTCAGTCAGCATTTGACTTAATGATAGATTGTTTTAATCTTATTGCAGACAACGCCATTGTATCGAACATAGAACTTTCAAAATATTGACTTAAAACGACTGTTGTAATTCTTGTTTCATCAACTTCTTTGTCAATGTCTTGCTTCGTATATGAATTTGTTTGTTTTCGTAGAGATTTCTCTTGTATATCGAACCAACTGTGAGATATGAACTCCATATGTAGCTATAGGTGGGGGTACATGTATATTGCTACAAATAAATTGTAGATCCCTTATCTTTCGCGAGTACTTATTACCGCATAATGCTTCTATGCTTCCTCCGATTTTGCTAAAGCGAGGGGACAGTAAGTCTCATTCGTCTGTCTGTTTGTCCCTCTGTTAGTATATGTCCGTCTGTCACAAAAACTTTAACCTTGGTCATACCTTTTAAATGAGAAGAGATAGGGTTTTCAAATTTGACATGTACATTGCCTTTGACAAGACCTTTCCAGATATGCAAAGATTTTTGACCCCGTGACCTACTTCTAAAAAAAATTGAACATTACATTGAAGAGGAAAAGATGGGCTTTCATATTATACATCCATATTACCTGTGAGTCCTTGCTAAATATACTATGATTTTTGACCTTGTGACCTTTACTATGACGCTAAACTTATTCATAAAAAAAAGAGAAGATTTTTCTTATTTTTTGGACAATATTCATTAAAAACATGGAGGTATACACTTGCAAAGTGTTATTCCCTAAGATTTGGCCTGATTGTTTGATTTTCCTTTTAACTTTTGATTGAGAAGAGATAGGGCTTTCATATTTGGCATGCATTACTTTTACAAAGATGTATTTGAGCAATCGCCATGTTATGATATTTGGCCTCTTGACCTTGACCTTCATGTTTGACCTAATTTTCAATAAAAATTAACG